GGCATTGGATCTTGGGCTCCGGAGATACTTATGGAACTCCTGAGAATCAATTATAAAATGAATACAGAAGGAGGTATTTGAAGTCGGTTTTGTTTTTCTCTATTAAAAAAAATGGACTTGTACAAGAAAACTTAAATTTGGTTGCTTAAATTCTATTTCCATTTTCAGATGCGCATCTACTGTGATTCATACGGAAATACCAGATATTTCGATGGAAGAACAACTCGACGACTCGGCAAAGACAAGACAATTGATAATACCGAAATACTAGAGGTAATGCGGCATTGACGCACGCGTGTATCGATACTGCCTTTACTCACGCGAGCATGTTATAAAGACATTAATATAATGCCCCGAGTGTTTTGTATGGACACATGATATTCGGTAATGGCGCATTACCGATACACATTTTTTCGGTCTCCAGGTCGTGGTTAAACTATTGAAGGCGTATTGCAAACCTGTTATCACATATTTTTAATAAAACTTATTCGGGTACAGTAAAACTGTTTTAGTGGGTAACTACCTAATCACAGATCCATCGTATTGGCTCTCGTATGATCGTCCCAAGTCTGCCTGTACCCCAATGATGTTTAATAATACAGATGACGCGTGTCCATACTGCGCGAAATTAAAATTATTCCACTTTACATTATATGACATGTGTAAGTGAATGTGATAGATGACATAGAACGTAGGATACGAAAAGTGTCTCAGTTTTGGTGCGCTAGTGTCACATCTATCTCGTGATTTTACATTATAATTATCATTGTCTGTACTCTATCTCTGTAGACTCACTTCATAGTACAAGAATAGTTTGATGTACAGAAGTAAAACAATCATCAATAAATAAATGATAAATAAAGCGATTACTAACTCATATTTACAGGACGGAACTTGTCCTGCCGCGTTTTTTCTATTATACGGTCAAGCAAAGCCAGAATCGTCTTCGCGGACGTTCGTACCGCAATTAGACGACAACAGATTTCCAAGTAATTAAAGAACGCTATATTGCTGGAAGCCCCGGCTACCGTTAATACGGCTTAGGTCTCCTCGTCCCGGTATGTAGTAATAGTTTGCAGTATCGATATCATCTAAGATTCATGATACGATAATAGCCTCTGATGCCAAACAACCGTTAATATCAAAGTTGACTGAATGGTGGTCTTTAATTGTAATGTAGAGTTCGCAGAAAAGGAAAACATTGACACAGTGGCCTACCGTAAATGAATACTTTTTTTGGTTACATTACAACATATTCGGTAATGTGTCACTTTGACAAACTAGATTAAGACTTCTATATACCCGCTTTACAACATAGAGACAGAATAAATTTAATAAAAACTTTTTTTTTTAATTTTTAGATTTTTTTTAATTCCTCATTTTTTATTCAATATAATTTTTGACGATGAATAAACAAACACCTTCGGCGCTGCTTAAAGTCACATTTTAAGATTCATCTTGAGTGCAGAGACGGGCACTAAAAATAAAAATTAATCCTCTACTACTCTCTGACTTATATTTATATATTAAGGTGTCAAAATCAGTAACAATCCAATACGTCAATTGAGTTAATTGACCATTACATAACAATTATAGACATAGTGGTTGAACACAGAATAACGTTTGTTGGCAGCCTTATTCGCTCGACTCACGCACCCGTATGTAGCTTAACCAAATTGTTCAGGTCGCAATGGAAATTTTCTCGTACATAAAATATGATAAGGCACATTTTTTTCTTTAAACAACAAACGAAGCCTAATGCTTGTGGAGTGCGCCTTAAAGTTTTTGTATTATTTGATATGTTCCATTAAAATAGCGTAACAGGTGATTGGCAAAAAAGCTATTGTGAAACTCGAATAGGAAAGCATTGGAAAAATGCCGGTTGGGCGTTCTAGCCATTGCTTGCGGTGTCATAAATGTGAGTTCTTGGAATATCTCGCCACGTAAAGGGTATTTGATAAAACAGCTTGTGATAATGTGTGTTGGCTCAAATGAAAAACACGACGAAATATACTTTTATTAAAAAACAACAATGAAAACACACTCAACTTATTACTATTACATTATTAATCACACACAGTAACAATTAATTTTCTGTCGCCAAATGTTACAATATTTGCGTTTAAATTGAAAACAGATATGCTACAATGGCATACAAAAAAATGAAATGTTGATAAAATTTAAGGAATCACTGACAATTGATCACTCACACACAAATACAATGATTTGAGACGACAGACTTAGATTCCTTGTCTTTGTTCAGCACCAAAATGTTAACAATATATTGCATTGAAAACAGAATATCTTATATCGCCCTTCTTCGCTGTTACCTATATTATATCTTACAATAATCCTTAAATATCTCCATGGAATTAAATATATACAAATTGTACAATGTCGCGACTTCTTGTGTGAAACAGCACATGTGTTCCGGTTCCCCTTGAAATATGTGTCTTATATTGCATTTTTCATTCCAAGTCTAGACGTCCTACACAAGTTTTCACAAAACATGGTGTAATAATATAAAAGACCAGGTATTAAGTAAATATATCAAAGTAATTTTGCCTTAATAACGTGATTTACTTGAGATGGTCCTTTCCGTCACATTATCACAACACAAATTGCATTGCGTTAAGTTACTTTATACTTATTACTTAATTTTATGATAATTATTGTTTGTAACAATTTTTTTCTCCATTTTGTACTATTTTTTTAGGTAGGTGACCATTTTTCTTTGTGTTTTTATTTACATAATTTTAATGTTTAAGTTTTGTAGCATTATATTGGCTGAATAAATGTCTCTAAATGTCTTTAAATTTAACAGAATACATTAAATATTAACAATATTTTTATCTATATCATTACATTAAACGTGATTTTCGTTAAATTACTTTATTAAGGAAAGATATCGCTGTACACAAGATCACATCGATAGTAACCCAAATGGTTGAAGGTGTAAGAAAGATCCGTGATTCACGCAGACAACAGAAGGACTACGTACAACTGGGCTAGTCGGTAACGTCATAATTCTTCGCGAGCGCGAAGCCCTTCATAAACGCACCACTAGAACTGCTTATGCGGAACGTTCGCGAGAACCAGTCCGCTCATACAATTCCAATGACACAAACCCATAAAAACGTTGAAGAACAACATCGCGTTCTGGGCAAACATACGCAGCTGCAGGAATTCGAATTAATATCATATATCGTACTTAAATACTTTATCATCAATATTTTATAACAATAAAAAACTTAATGAGCACGCCCTGCTTTGAACGATGAAGCGTTCGTTATCACCTTTATATTTTTAACAATATCGTTAGTTCCGAATAATTAAAAATAAGCAATACCTACACTAAAAAAACTCCATTTGAGTTTTCTAATCGACTAATCTTTTTCACCTGTCAGTCATAATTATGGAAAAGGGCTGTATACCTACTGATTGATTGAACTTGATTGTGATACTCGTAAATAAGACTGAAAATTTTGATGATTGAAATCTGAAGATGATTTCGCGTAGTACTAAGTCACTGTGTATATCTAAAAACTAATTATACCTTTTAAAATACTGAGTTAATTAAGATTTGATGTTTTTTTATTTACAAAGTGATGCCTACAGTGAAAATTTTAGCAACATTATTTTTTTAACATTATGTTCTAACTCTACGTGTTGATATTTAACCAAAAACGCTCATGGTATTAAATAATATATCGTAACCCTTGCGATAAAATCCAAACATCAACAGTTCTATAGCCATATAATATTTTGAGTACCAAGTTGAATAAATTAACAAACGTACCCAATTGAAACGTTGCATTAAGTTGAATTAATGTTAAGACCCACCAAAAGCGCCGCGGCATATTATACATATATTTAAAAACGCACTCATTCAAGAACAATTTCACTAGCCTCCGCTTACGAACGGGCGTCCGCGGCGATGCTATCGTGAATTAGTATCGTGTAATAGCTCGCAACGTCCCGTGGCCGGCCGCACTCACGTGGGTACTTTTTATTGGGTCCTTGAACTTGCGTACAATTTGGACGGTCGATAATTCTAAGCGAGCAACGCCACTTCCACGGATGACTCGTATTAGCGGCCTATGACATCATAAACTACGGGCACGGACAAAACGCGACGCGACAGACATAGACGCGTGTTGTTGTTAATAGTGAACATTCTGCGAGTATTATTAGTGCTCGAGTATTTGTATGCAGACATTACTTACCTGTTTCGTACGGTATAACATTACAGTTAATTAAGGCTCTGGACATTATTAGCGCTGGATAAATAAAAGCGAAGCGACAATGTTGCTAGTGTTGTTTGGCGCCGACATTGTTTCTTAAACGTTTGTAGGATCAAGGGCTGGGTCGGAGCGACTATCCGAGCGCACCGCGAGTTTAATAGCCGTTCCGCTGCGCGTGATGATTTATCGCAGCAACACTGAATATACGAAGTGGAACAATTACCGGGTTTTCGAGCAGCGGTATCGAGATTCATGCCGTTGACTCGAAGTCGAAATTTCCGCCTCGGGACACGGGTCAACGCGACGATGCCTTCTTCGCTCCCGTACTTGATCACCCAACGTGAAACGAAATTCTCATTGAATTAAAAAAATACACGTATATATAATACTTCATATCGATCTGCACAGTTTTCTTTTTATAAGGCCGCTGAGTAATGTTATTTTATTTTAAAATATTATATGTTTGGATGTAGGTTATGTTTGACTAAGATGTTTCGACTAAACTCTCCGTCTAGATACCCAATATCCAGTATAATTTAAATAAGATTGTTATTCAATTTTAACAAAAACTATGCCAGGAATTAATTTGTTATAAATTTCTGATATACATGTATATCTAATAGCAACCGAACAGGTTTGTCTTAAGTTTCTTTAATGATATGATAAATTACGATATTACAAGTTTTGTAATGCGGAAGAACCGATTTCACATCGTCGGGATGGCGACAAATTATTAATCTTTGGCATTAAGGGACAATGGAGGTGGGGAACGTGCGAGATTTATGGTGTGTCATGATATCAGCACGCCTGCGCATACGCATCGCGATTTTGATCTATGTACTTCGAGGCGTCAGCGCTTACATCCCTTGAAGCCCAGAACAATTATTAGTATACGCACCTTGCTCGAATCATTCTTTAAAAAAATTATCACTTTAAGCACCATATAATAAAGATAACTGTACTATAATAAAGATACTTATACAATAATGTACTCAGATGAATTTCATTAGTTTCATTTGGTGTACATTTAAAAAACTCCGCTAGTTATGAAAATAATGAAACAAGCAAAGATGAATCGAAAGTAATCATCGTAGAGTTTTAAGCAATCATCTAATTAGAGATACAAATGCGATATAAGCCCAATCTTTTGTGTTGTTAACTCGCTCTTACATTAATATTCATCGTGTAATTACGTAATTTCTACCAGTATATAGAATTTACGACACGGACGTAGATTTTATTTTGAGCGCGGTCGCGTAGCGGACGTTTCTATGTGGGGCAGATCTGTCCTCGGCAAAGTCCGTTACTTGCCGCAACTAATGTATGTTGCGAATAACGAGAGTAAACTGAAAAAGTAATAAAAAATAGTTTTTAAAAATCAAGTCAAAATCATTAATGCGTGTGTTAATACAATCCGCCTACTAATTCCAGTATAGCCGTAATTCATATGAATGGTGTTCCGTAATCGTAACACGTGTAAAACATTGTATCTTGAGAGATCTTTATCTTAAACATTAAATGCCGTTTCTCAACTTCTCCGGTTTTCCTATTCATTAACCTTCATGTGGTATGTGGTAGGTGTGTATGAGAGTTTTTGTTCGTTATTATTCTCAACGTGATCTGCAGTTAGGATTGCATTATTTTCAATGCTATACCTGTACTATGACGCCGTACAATTAATACATGGTCTTATATTATGAAACTTAGAAAGAGAACATCCGTTTCAGAGTTTACGAGCGGTTATCCATTGCATACGGGAACCGTTTATATAATGAAAAGCAATGCGGTTTTTTTTTTGGTTTGCGTTTTTCTATAGACGTGAAGGCGTGTTATGAACGATGTTTTTTCAGCTTGGTGGAAAACAAGCCTTATACGCAAAAATAATGAATACATTTCTAGTAAATGCTACAATACTGTGTTCAGATGCTACAGGTCCCTTAATACGTAATCTTAGCTTGGAATTAAAATTGTATAAAAGCGGAGCTTAAAATACTGATGAAATTAATCACGAAAATAATAATTTAAACGTCGCATTACGCAACAAAGTTTTTATTACGGATTCTGAATTGGGAATAATTATTCTAACAATAACAGTAATTGCAGAAGCGCAGGTAAACCAGCATCTTGTTATTGTCCGCTTTTTAAACGATCGTTGACAACTCTGTGTTACTCGTTAGAACAGCAAAAAAGTTGCGTAGTTAATCGCCGTTGCAAGTCGGGGGTTTTATAAAAGAAATAGGCTACGCTAGAGCTCTGTAAAGATGTCCATAATCGAGTGAATGAACACAATGGTGCAAGCATAAAAATTGTGCAACACTTTTTGCACCGTAAAACAATTGAACTTCTTACGCTACAATAAGTAAATAAAGGTTTCGTACCTGGCCACTCATTTCACAGTATATTTTCATGGGAGCAACCGTTATTTTACCTGGAAACTACGCTTTACAACAAAACTTCAATGTATTTAGAACTAACGGCACAATTGAAAAATAAAGAATTCTAGCATAATATTCATTAAGGAGAGTAGGTATAGGTATAACTTTTAATTTTAAACGATAATTTTCATAAAATTACAACATAAGTTAGAGTGCAGATTAAATTATTACACATAGTAATAAATACCTACCTTACAAATAATGATTAAATAATAAATTAAAATATTTTAAATTCCAGCCATTACGTGGTGTCGGAATTTTAAATGAACAGAAAAGGCATCTGAACATCTGTAATTACGCAATCAAACAGCTGATCCTATAAAATATGTAGAACCCTCGACAACGAAAGGGGCGTCTGTGCGCAGGGTACAGCAGTGAAACGCATTGAGTCTTGGCTACAACCTATAAGACGATATAAAATGTGATACTATATTTTTATACGGTTAAACATTTGAATGTTTAATTTATTTACACGGAATGTTTTGGATTAGAATGATAACTAAGGATTTCTTAACCTTAATTTCAGTATACGTGTGTAAATATACATCTATAATGTCAACGTAATAGAAACATCCAAGATGCTGCTTGTGAACGTAGTAAATGATGCAAGCATGATTTAAAATTGATTATGCAGTAGCGTTTAACAAAAATATTCCATTGGCAATTATCGATCTACAGTCTCGACTCGTAAAATAAACAGACATAATTACTTTAACGATTAACAAAAGAATCTGTCTAGCAAGTGCGAATTATAAAATAAAATTTTTTTAAGTTCGAGCCATTGGAATAGAAGAAAAACATATTTTTTAATCCATTTCTTTGTATTCTTCCGTAATAAATTTTTCATATTCAAAAGTAGAAAAGTGTGTACAAATTGAATTTTAAGAGAGACATAAAATTATGTTTTCTTATGATAAAATTATTGGGAAGACATCTAAACACGCGTAATTAAGTCTAAACGCCACAAAAGATTCAAATGCATGATAAAATTTACTAAAAATTATAGAAGTAATTAATAAGACCGGGTGAAACGGAAGAGCTATATTTTCTTAAGTAATTGTAAAGCCACCTTAACAAGCGCAATATGAACTAATCGCCGCGTGCGTTTCGATGTCGTTATCGGGTAGATACGCAGGCAGCTGAATCGTAAACACGCGTCTCCGCCGCCCCTGAATCGCGACGGTGGACAGCCCGCCAGGTGCGAGGTTTATCTTAACTCGAGCCACCGAACCAATTGAGGGAAGACTTCAACACCTTAATTGGTACAATTAACGGGCGCGGTACACCGGTACCGGCTCCGCGGTACGGTTTTTCCCGCCGCCGAATGCGATTTTCACGCAAAACGTTCGGACTCACGTCTATGAATTATTTATACCAGAATAGCAATTCGCGACGCTGACGAGTGGTTGTTATATGAAAAAGAAACAACCTTCGAATGTCACTAGCAAAATATGTAGCTTCGACACCTTAAGCCAAAATGTCAGGTGCTTCACGCTAAGGAATTAGCTAGGTAAAAACTTAAATGGACATAAGAAGTCTATATTAATTGTTAGATAAAATCTCATATTGCATAATAATGAATAGTGTTGAATTTAATGTAATTTATTAATAATTGCATTCAGTCGACCGAATTTCGGTATCCAATTTTAACGTTATACCATGTGGCGATTATAATAACTGGAAAATATTGGTCTATTTGGGTTAAGAGTAGCGTTACTCGTATTTAAAACGGAGCCATACTTAAAAGAGTTTAAGGTATCACCTGTAAATTGCTCGGGCGTATTGCTAATTTATTTAAATTGCTTTTAATTAATTCAAACTTGATACGCGGTTCGCGTCGCCATGCAACCGCTTTTTGATTGATACGGCCATAAACCCGACAGCTTTATTGTTTTATTGAGTACACAATTATTCTTAGGTTTACGCTCCTTTTGATTATTAATAAAGTGGTTGCGGGGAAAAGTGACTAAAATTTTACTACAATCAAAATTATTGAGCAATATTTTCTCATTTTTCGCCACTTTTAGATGAACTCAACTGTTTATCATAAGTTTTGATTTTCTATGTAATAATTTCCATGCATGTAATGACTATTTTTTGAAAATTTTCATTTAAAACTTACATTAACAGTTATCAGTAATTATTAAAGTGACTAGTGGATTAGCGACGAACTAAACGCCATACTTTGATAGGTCAACGGGCCAATGGGGGAGGTCGGCACCCCGTCCAAGCCGGGTTTGCGAGGGCGTAAATTACTGCATAGTTTGACTTAAATAGATTCTAATTCAACAAAAAGCGATGTCGAATTTCACTACGCCGACATAAATCAACTTTCTTATTGTAACACTATAAGAGCGTTAAAATAGTATGTATTTAAATAATAGAGTTTAATATTATTTCAAACATTTTCTACCCGAAAAAGTTTCGATGCTTCGGAGCAAATTAATTCTTAAATTAATTCCCTTAACATTTATTTGATAACTGAAATGAATATTAAATTTTATAGTGATCTTTTTATTGTGTGTTCGTTGAAACATTGACACAAAATATTCAGTTTATGCCTATCTTTGACGTGGGCAATAAGGATATTTAGGCCTCAATTTTATACATCCTTACTAATTTATAAAGGCGAAAGTTTGTATATATGGATATAGCTTATACCTACATCAGAATAAAACATAGGCTATAATTTATATACATATTCTATGTATATCTGTCTTTCTGCTTAATGTTACAGCTTCAGCCTATTCTACACAGACGTAGTCGCGGGCAGCAGCTAGTCAAGCATATATCTGACAAAATAAGTTTTTAATTCCATTGCATATCATACGAAACTTAGCAAATTCGGTACCTACTTATTATTGTTTCATTTCAGATTTATGCAGATATCTAAATTTATCATTTCATCATACTTTTAACGAATCTCTTAAGTGTTACGTAAAGTGATTAGAGCCTTCCGTAGTAAGAAGAGCGGGAATTTTAATTAAGAAATAATCACGGCATTAGAGAGTTTTTCCATTTGTGCGACTTTTACTAGCGGTCGAATGATTTATTACTGTGATCCATATCGAACCTGTTCGTTACGGCGAAGACGCCAGCTGAGTATCACAGTGGGAGATATTTAAAAAATGCAGTTTTCTTAAAACTACCTTTCAACGGGCCCATTCCTGCCTAGTAAATGCTGATCTAAATTGAGTGAAACCCTGAATAACTTTAGAACGCGCTACAAGCTTTTTGTTTCGAGTATAAAATAAATAAAAACCTATGGATTACATGAATATTATATCGTACAACAAACGTCTCTAGTTACCAACCATTATAAAGCCAAACATGGGATATTCGTCCGCGCTAGCTGCAGTTGAAAGTTAATTAGCATAATTAAAACAACCGCCGTTCGTTTCCGTTCCTCGTCTGCGGCCGCCGAGGACAGGATTATCGCGCCTCCTCGTTTGGGGCAGCAGACTGTTTGGTCCCTGGTGTTTGCTGGGACATATATCGCGTCTTCGTGCGCCCGCATTCATAATAGCGTCGGTCCTTGACCCCGGCGGGGAAAACATCGCGAGCGCGCCATTAGACCGTCTGAAAACCGACGCTGCACCCACTCCTCCTTCCCATCACGTATTTGGTATCGTTGGGGACGTCACTCCGATTCCCTTCCAGCGATGGGACGCGTACATTTTCATAGGTAATTTGAGGCGTATTACAAGAGCGCTTAGCACACAGCGCGCGCCCGTATTTTCCGTTGTAAACATGACGGCGCGCCGCATGTTTTATGTATCGCGGGTGCAGTGCAGAAGGAAACCCTCATCGGAATTCTGCGCGGTGCCCGATGGTACCGGCGTCCGTGCGCTGCGAGCCAAGAGCATCTCCCGCGGCGCGTGTGAAAAAGTAAAAGCAAATCGTTGCCATTTCAATACGGCTCCACGCGGCGCGTAATAAGTAATACGCCGATCGCCTTTTTTATCGACGTCTAGTGTATTGTCTGCCAGACCTCTGGCAATGCGTCACTGCGATCCTCTGAATTTTAGGTGCATGTTGCTATGCCCGAGGGGATTCTTCCTCATATTCAGGCAGTATTCTTTCGTCTTATCTCGTTTGTAATGTGGTGTTACGTTCGTAAATCAATCTCTCTTAATCGCTTCGCTGGCACCGAGCGCTCCGATTCTGGAACGTTCCTAATCACTCTCGCAAATAGGACGCAGTTGACGTTGCATGTCGCCTGTCAGTTGTCGCCGGTGCATCACAGCCCGTGTTCACTGCATCGCAACGGCCGCACGTGTCGCGGGAAGCGAACTCGCCAAACAGATCCGCTGATTGGCCGGGCGCAAATTGGCGCGACGTGTGTCGCGTGTAGACGCTATACGACGCCGACCGCGGCTGCGGTAGGTCACAGCCTCAGCCCGGACACTATATGCATAAAGATCACTAAGCACTCGCAGCACTAGTTGCGACGTGTCCAACGCGACCGAACAGCCGGACAACACTAAGGGCGTCCGGGAATTACAATCGAAAAGGCGCACCGACACAGATAATTCGATGGATATCTTAATTTCGTTGCTCCGAATTATAATTTACGAGCGCGCTGTAAGCACGAAAAAACAGCCCGGCTATAATAGATACGTCGATTTTTTCCGCCCGCATGTATCGTTTAGAGCATGGTCGGGCCTTTAGTCGGGGCTCACTGGCCGTTTCGCCGTTCGTTGGAACTGCACGGGAACAATCGTCTCACTCTAATTTCATTGCGCCATTGTAAATTTCGTACCAGGTGTATTAGAACAGCGATTAAAACGTCTAATTATGGCTGAGTGTAATTAAAAAGGGTTGCGCGTTTTTCGCTAAGACAGCTCTTTTCTATTATAATGTGTGAAAACAATTACCTTCTTTTAATTAATTTATAACGGATGCGTTGGGCTTCAACGTAATGAATAATTTATGTGGCAGACTGTTTATTCATAATTACTGCCGGGCGATAAGGGAGTTTAGTAGACGAGGCTGCACGTACTTTGAGGATCGAACAGGAGTGTATTCTAGAAATAACTGTTGTAATTATCTTGGCTGATGTTTGCAGGAATAGGACAGCTATATTTCACCGCGCGCCCCCTGCACTGGAAGGGTTTATTAGTTAAGTATGTGGTGGGGCCCCATATATCATTGACGTCGGCGCCGGCGCAAGCTTTCCGTTCGATACCCGCGGTGAACATTTAATTCTATAAACGATCGGTAACGTTTCGAAAACGGTGCTTTCGACGAAATAACCCGTTGTCTAACGACAATTCCTTTCGTTGTAAATTATTGGTGAATATTAAAAGAATTTGCAATACTCGGGTGGTATTGTTCTCGGCGAACTTTCACCGTTGGCGTATCGTAAAAATCGCAGATGATGCCGTCAATAAAGATTCAACGATCGATAATCATCGTGATTCCTACCGAAATGGCGTGATAAAGTTTATTGGTCGTTAGGAGAGCCGATTCGAATCTGTGAGTGGCGTTACGAATCTGACGGATTCGACACGGGCGTCCACTACCAGCGCACTCGACTACGTGCGCACTGCGCAATTAAAGAGTAGCCAGCGCAATCGATTCAAAATTTACTTGTAACTGGTAACAATCGCAAACAATCACCGACCCCGTAAGTGCTTAAAAACGATCCCGTAATACTTCTTAATCTGTAGTCATTACTTATACAATGCAACATGCATTTAATGACAAGAGCTATCAGTAAATTTGACGTTTATTTAAAATTTAGAGTGAAAATATTTCTTATTTATACTGTTTATTAGCGGGGAAGAAGGAATGAATATGATCGTTATCGAAATAACCGTCTCAATTTTCAACTAGAAGAGTGAAAGTACAACTTAAATTTTAAGAAACATGTTGATGCATAATTAAGCGTGCGTAATAACCCGCGCCTTACCTGCACCGCTGTGGTATTACGGTAAAGCTCTTGCGTGTATTAAAATGTATGTTTTATGTCCGCGTTCAATCAATAAAAATGCTAAAGAATCGTTTAGATCTATAATAATAACGGTTGCAGACGGCGATCGCTAAGTTTATGCAGATCGCATCGATATTTCGGCCGATCGAATTTTACGAGGCGCAATTAACGGCGTACGTGAAACCAGTATCACTTTGAATAGTCATCGGGAACTCTTTTCGCAGTGATATTTCATACTTTTACATACAAAATCAACAACTCGAACGCTATCGAAATCTCAAACTAGATAAAGGAAGTTTGTACAAATTGGCACGTATAGATCTTGCCATTGCTTCAAAGGAAGCTTTATACTATCTGATGTTTCGGGGAAGTTTCAGATATGCGTCCACAAAATGCTGGAACAAACTTCCACCACCATTGTGGATCACCAAATCGTCGGCTGCTTTCAAGTTTAAACTAAAAAACTATCTTTTACTCACACAAAAAACGACATGAACAGGACGACACACTTTCTGTGACACACAGCAAAAATGGCGCAATACAATTAAAATTAAACTCCGACACATTAATTAGCATGCAACACTCATCGTACAACACTATATTTAATTTCCACTGCGCATCCAGATTGTCCGTGACTCACATTCGTAGGCGTCAGCTGAAAATCAGCGCTACCTTAAACGTAGCTTTATGCTGAGCTGACCTACCTTTTGGTCGTCGCATACACCAACTTTGTAGTTATTATCATTATTCATTATTATCTATCTTAGATTAGTTATTTTGGTCTCCTTTCTGTAGTTTTTATTTTTATTTTTGTAAACGGTGTTTGTGGACGATCAATAAAGATTTTCTATTCTATTCTATTCTATTGTTGTAGGGATTTAATAAAATAATAAATTTTATGAAATACTACAACAGTAAATGTAGCCACTATTTACTAAACTGAATTATAACTTTGTACACTTAATAACAATTTTATTTTGATATACCTTTCGTTTGAACAGACTAACTCTTACGACAACATCAAGAAATTCGAAACAAATTTTCTGTACGAAGAAGAGTACTAGGTGTAGCACAGCTAACCGTATAGCCTAAAAGAAGACGCATTGTTCTTTGAAATGCTCGTTTCGGCACGAAGCCCTCTATATCAAGGAAATAACTTTAGAACGTGTTAGAGAACTGAACGAGAACCCGTTTTGAGTTGTATTTCTACGAACAAAAGGTGTAAAATCGCTGTTAAAACGCGCATCGTAAGTCGTACCGGTGTTTAGGAAATCTACCCTTTAGCGGTCGGTAATAAAAATTAAATTCGCTCGTCGATTTCGCAATTTTTGCATCGAACGGAATGCCGCAGTTGCAGTGATATTCATACGGAGTGTATTACCGTGCAACGTTTACGCGAAATTAAATATCGTTTAATAGTTTACCGGGAACGTGTTGTCGCAAGTGAAATTAGCTGGTGGCGCGTTCGTGATAAAATTTCGTCGTTTTAATTCGCCCCAAGTAACATGGCGACACGTTTATAAATATTTCCAATTCAAAATTATGCTCTGTTTCCACGGAAGCGCTGTTAAAACCGAGGCATATTAAAGCGCGTGTTTAAATCACATAAGCTCCATCAGCAAGCTTTGGCCCGTTGACCGGTTGCCTATAATTATAAAAGGCAGCAATGATAGGGACCTTAAGCCGAACGGTGCAATCAATGATAATTTAAGTAGATAACATAATTTAAATCGACATGAAGCATTCTGCCCGTATCCAAACAGTGCGCCGCTCGGGCGCGAGAGCGGGGAATCGTGCAAAATTATTAATTGGCGCGCACTCTTCAAGCGGCCCACGGTAAGGACCGCAACCCATGCGAAGCGAAGCGATAATTCTCTTGCTTATGGACCCGACGAAATTCTACGACGTTCCGCGGGCGAGCTTAATCGATTAATCGAAGACATCCTTATCGGTATTCCATTTTAAAGATCGACCTTTAATATCCGGCCGCTACAAGCCAGTCCCGGAATAATTAGGACGCGCAGCCCATTGAGTGAAATTGTAACTGAACGCTATTTATTGTAAAGCATTCAATCTTAGCTTTAATTTAGTTAATAGAAATAATAATGCTTTTAGCGCTTTACATAGGTAACAGCTTTTTGCATTGTTTCCGTTTAAACCGTATATCTTGATTTATCTAATAAAGATAGCCCATTTCATTAAATGAATAAACTACATTTTACGCATCACCTTAACTGAACATGGAAATAAAAATTATATCCAAAACAAAACTATGAATATTCAAATAGTTTTCTTTTATTAATGGGTTTTAACGTCAATCTATTAATTTAAATTCATTCTTGAAAAATTTTTTACTCTCCCGCTTGCTTACTGAAATCGCTTACGTATATTTTTTTTATATTTCTTGACTATTTGGTTCTATCATAATATTAAAACACAACTTGAAAGAGTCATTTCGTTCCGTCCTATGTATACAGTAAGCTTTGATTACAAACAGCATTATCTACAATATATGTTACTAAATTGTTGATTTCATATTATATGTTACTAGACAAAATTTTCTCATCATCGTTGCATTGAATAACGTCGATAATGTTTCTAAATATGGTTCCTTTTAAATAACTTTTGTGCTTTAAATAGTATCTCGCATCGGAACGTCCACAGTGGAAATGCAACCTTATGTTGTCTTGCAACTGTCCGATAAGTTGAATTCTAATAATATTTTTTTAGCAATATACGCTCTTATTACAAGAAACGCATATGTAATATGATTTACGGCGTTGTTTTGCATCGCATGCGAGCGGAACTTGATATCTGTCTTGTTTATAAGAAAAAAAGTGGGCGTTTATAGTTCGATAGCTTCTGATCCTGCAATTGAGATCCGTGTTATTCGTTGCAGTATTAACAATTTAAGTTTGTGTTAGATGAAGCGCTACGTCAGACTTATCGCGGTATTCTTTTTAGCAATTACAAACGTAATCATCGTTGATTACGGTCGTAATCACAATACAGATTCGAAGAAATGTTTCGAGCGTTACAAAGCGTTTCTTCGTAGCTCCGCGGAATGTATAAAACACTGACGGGCTTCCGACTAGGAAAGTTCACAGCGAACAAAGAGTGGAAATGAATTGGAACAATGGCGTGAAAAAAGACATAAGCACGGATTCGGTGGAAGCGGTGATCTTTAATGCAACGCGTAATACCTAAGTAGTAAACGTGTCACGGCACCCATATGTAGTGCTATATTGATGTTATAAATAAACGTATAAGTTAATATGTGACGTGTATATTTATATGTATAACCTAAACGATAAAGAACTATTTACACCGGAAAATAATGAAATGTAGAACAAATTTACAATATTAATATTAACCATAACCAACACATATAAACACTTAATTATAAATAGTTTACACTAAGAATATTTACGATTAAATTGTCTATCTATCACACGAACGTTTGCTAGTTCACTACAACTTTTTTCACTTAACAGCTGCCTTTGATCGATCCTTATCCAAGATGGCCGACGCTGTGGCGGGAACATGCGTGTACACACCTTCGCGACGCGATGCCCGTCAATTTTCACCGTATCTTTATTATTTCAACATTATTCGACGCCACTGCTGAGCCGACGGACGTGCTAACCAGCTCGAGTTTTTCGCCACACTAATCTAAAAACGCTTTAAAAAGCCCAACGTATTCAAAACTTTGGACCCATAAAACATATCTCCCCCATTATTAGTTTATGGGCTGCGTCTGTTACCGGGGCTATTATGACGCTACTTTTGTGTGGATTCGTTGTTTATTTTGATTGTGTGTGGTGGACGAGCCTGGGCAATTGGGGTGCCATTACGGAGTACTGCTATTGAGCAGTTCCTAACATTGTTTCATAGGATCATTATTGTTCAAGGCCGTTTTAGTTACGACCCTCGTAAAGGTGCTTTTTATGGCTTCGTGTACCATATTCTGGTGGCATAACGAACTTTTAAATGTTAATCGTCACAATCAATTGTAAACTACATAGTGATATAGTTAGTTTAATGTTAATAATCAGTTTATTTAGAATATAATAAATCGTATTAACTTTAGCAAGACTTTTTAAAATACTTCTTGTGTTGTTATTTAATTATAATTTAATTTCCATTTAAGCAAAAAAGTCTTGTATGCCAAAAACATAATTCGGTGCTAAGCCTTCGATGACAGGGGTCGTGAGTTCGATCCCCACACGGGGCAAGAAATTGTGTGACCCACAGATAATTATTCAGAATCTTGGTGTATATTCAAAAGGAGGTCTGATGTCAGGCAGGCGGCCGGTCATAAAAAGCCTAGCCAATATCTTTAATAACTGATATATAATGAGGACAGGAGAAAGAAGAAGATATAGATACGAAAACAAACTAATATGGTAAAAAATAATTACCATTCATAATAACGGATTAAGATTGCTAAAAACAAATTATGACAAACAAATAGGAAACATAAGAGACTATTTTGATTTAGAATTCATATATTAAAATATGTGGTTAAAATATGACGCACATTTATTGCTACAATGGAACAATTTGTGTGGAAAAACATTAAAATTATTATTTATTATTGGAGTGGTAGAGCAACGTCATAACTAGAGCGCGATGCTCTAACACTTTTATAATTATTAATTTAAACTAAAAACAATAATAAAAAATATTAATTTAGTGATAATGCTTATATTTCGCCATAATTATCGAACGAGCAATGTCCATATTATCATGCCTCAAATATCTTTGTGTAGTTCAATTATTAGTCATACTTTGTAAAAATCTATTTAAATACAATGTAATAGACTTAATGTAAACATTAATCATATTTTACCGAAATAAATAAATATTAACAAAATGACATATTAACTAATTTCTTTCCAGACTATAACTAAGTAATACTAGTTGTATTACTTTTTGTTCATAACACTATTACTAATAATACTATAACATAACTATCCAAATATCTATACCAAAGAAATAAAACGTAATAACAAACACGTCACGTTTCAAATCGACCTTGGCTTGGAAACACATAAAAGGAGAAACAAAAAAAAACGTAAAAACAAGAAAAAAGTACAGTTGCGTCCTGCGAGTAAGCAACTAGGTAGTGATTACAATATCTCATTTCTCTTTAATAAAGGACCATTTAAAAAGTATTGCCGCGGGCGAAATTCGGTCGCCAATTTCGGAACCTGTTTAGAAATTATAGGGTCAGGTATCTGCGTAAGGTTAGGTTAGGTTCGTACACAAAGTATGTATTCAGTCTCGTACAGTTCGGGTACTGTAATCAACAATCAATACAATTGTTTGAACTGAGCTTTAGCTAATTTAGTTTGGTAAGACCAATCAACATTAAGTTGTTCATCATTTTTTTTTCTTTAAACCTTATTCCGTCACTCTTCAGTCTTCAGCGACGTTTTGTTTCCGTTGAATTTTTGCAAAGGGTGCAATTTAACTAGTTCAGCAAAAAAATGAGTACCAACACTTTTACTGTTTCAATGATGAAAATTACTTAAAAGACTTAGGATGCGACCGCCCCGGTACAAGACCGTCAATACATCCTTTGCAGGGAACACTTAAAATCGCATACATGGAATACCTAAAATTAAACGCCTCTGGATTAAAAAGTGAAATCGTGATGGGAATTAAAGTTGATGGTCTGCTTTACGGTTTTTATTATGACTGAGCAGAGTAGACTTCAAATATTCGGTCGTACATTACCAACATCTGAGTTCATTTTTGACCTTCATTGTGGCGAAGTATTACAGAACTTTTACGTGATATTCATATTCGAAGGGAAAGTTTTATGTGGAAATATTGTCGATTTAGACTATGCTTAAGCACTTTGCCTGCCAAATTAGAGTTTTTCAGATAAGAACTGCCAATTCTAACTGAAATTACGGGACTGCTATTGGGGGTTTTATTCTCAAAACGTTGTTTGGAGAATAAAAACCCCATAGTTCCTTAATACGTAGCTGAAGCGACCATAGCACTTGAGAGTGATTTTGCGAGTCGTTTTTTTAGCGGCCTATAAAGAACTTTAGTTTTGGGGAGACAAAATTTTGTACCCTTTTAGTGGGCCGTTCTCATGGCTGTTTTATTTTACAGGGTACGCAGCATCAGGGAACAACAGCCAGCAAAATACTGAAGAAGACAACAAATGAAAATAGCATATACAAATTAGAATGCCTTAATTAATAAGCAGGTTGTCAATGAGTTCTTAATAACTTCAATTTATTGTTATCTTTTTGTTTAATTCAATTTGTTGAAGGAATGTATGCACACTGGAGGCGTCTGAATGTGGAATTGTTATTAAATGATATTCAAATGCTGTTAAATGTTCATTAGTAAACACATATTGATTTAATAATTTAAAAAAAAAGTTGCGATAGTAGTAGCACTAGTATTAGAAATATTTAAAAAATGTAAAATCTGCTTTATTTAAATTGCATTGAATAATACAATATTACTTATCGGTGTTTATATTCACATTCATATTTCACAATTTAAAAATTACACAAATTCAGTTATTACCTACTTAATATCAAATTAAACTATTAAAGTAAGCAGCGAAAATTAAACAGGAAATAAAGAATAACTAAACCTTTTAAAGCAATCCCAATATACTTATGCGAAATAATGAAAGCTGAATGAAGAGGCAGAAGGAAAAATATACAGATTAATTGTTGATATACACAATAATTGTTGAATTTGACTTATTTTGTTCCTAATTGTTTTAGGAAATCTGGAGCATTAATACTCTTAGTTTTAACAATATTTACCACCAGTAATAGTTTTTAAAAAAAGTACTGGGTTGATTAAGTTGAAATTGTATAAGTAGGTACAACTAAAACGCGTATCTCTTTAAACAATTTCAATTTATACACATACTGAATAATCTATCATTAGCTATGGAGTATGGAGAAAAAGGGCAGAGCTTATTTTAAACATCTCTTGAATAATCATAATCTAAAACCAACTTAAGAAAAAATAATTTTTAGTTCCAATTGTAAAAATAATATTTTGATTTGGGAACGTGTTCCTGGAATAATCGCAAGGAATAAGGATACTATTATCCTATCATTTAAAAATTATAATCACACTCTTTAATTATCTTATTTTTATAATCATTATAATAATTAATATCATAATAACAAAAATTAAACATAAAAGAGAAAGTTAAGCCTTTGAACATGGCCAACACAACATAGAATCTTTTATATCTATTGTCATCTTATGCAATTGACGTTAAAATATTCCTTGCTACATAAAACACACTTAAATTATTCACAACACTTTATATATCGCATTTCAACATAATGATGTGTTTCACAACCAACAAACTAATAATATATAACGCACGCTGCAAAACTTATCCCTTATCTTCAGACGAATGCCTTGTTACGAATTTAATTGGCGAGATAGTCAAATTCACCATTGCTATGGGATAGGAACTCGAAACGCGACGATCACTTTGGGTGTTTTTTTTCCACGACCATTCGGCGTAGATATTTGAATATATCCGGAAGCGTGGTCCTGAAAGCGGCCACGTCACTCGCAAAGCGACCAGCACCGACTCCTCGGCCCACGGCCTTGTATTGTTTTAGCGGGTCGCGTTGCGTGAACCGAGTGAGTTATGGTCGACGCGGCGACTCCCTACTTCGGTTTCGGCCCGTTCCGTTGTGCTTTTTTTTTTTCTTTATTTCCTTTCTTTTTGATTTCGAGCGCATTACTTAATTTTATCGAGTCACATGAGTTATGAGACGCGCGACCACACGCACCGCGTTAATGACGACGCCGCTGCTCCCTCCAATCCGCTAAGGTTTGATCGGATTTTTCGAATTTCGAATTCCAATACGACCATCTTAGTGGATCGCTCTCCTATTGCACGGTGTGGACGCTGTTAGAATGTTCTCGTAAGATTTATCGTTTCACAATGAAATGTTCGTTTAAAGTGAAGGGTTTTTTTAACTTGCCCTGTCACGGGAACCCGGTATCGAGGTCGATGCCGTCCTTGGTCGCACTTTCGCCATCGCAGACATTTTGTGTGTCGATTGGCCGGCCCAGGTTAATAATAATACGCCCAAACTAGACCGGGCCGTTGACCCGATCGGGCGAGTTGCGCTCGCGCTCCCTCGGAGGAGCCCTAAAATGCCACATTCCGGGATGAATCCCGACTTTACACGAGACTGAGATAATTTTTGATATAATACACAAAACGTAAATAGCATTGAAGGTTTTCACATAAAAATAAAAATTAGAAAAAAATAATTTACTTAAATTATCATTGTTATCATAGTACTTAAATGTTGTATGGAATATATATTCCATACAACATTTTCAAGCAATACTTTTTCAATTTCAACAGGTATATACCTAACTAAAACTTCCGGCATTAGAATAGAAGAAATTAGTACAGTATTGAGATTTTTATAAGTATAATGATATTACTATTGTCTTATGTCTATTATAGAGAATTATTGTAAATTATAGTAAGCCTCATATAATATTAGAAATTTTATTTCAAATCGATGTGTAAATATCTCCTCTATAAATGTTTCTACTTAAACTCTAAACTTGTAAAGTAAAATACTTTAAAATATCTTCCGAATTTCTGCCGATTTCTTAAATATAGCTAAGCCATATATCTAAATCCTTGTCAGAAAATTATCGTTGAAATGTAAAACAACTTATAATTTATTTCAAAAAGATTATAAAAGGCTTGAAATTCCAGACGAACCGAATCTGAGCAGTTTCTTTCTAAACTTCTGTTTATTTAACTTAAATTACATTTAATCTTCTTTATTAATAAATAATGTGACCAATGAACTTGAGCTTACTTTGTAAAGTTTATAAATAAATTTTGCGATATAAAAGAGCTATTAAACGGTAGATAAGAAAAAAACATTATGAACGTATTTTATTGTTAAAATTTATTTAACCGATATCAAATTGACTTTGTTTTTATTTCTTCTTTGGAATGTAAGACAATAAAATAAAAAATAAAACTCGAATCGTATTTATTATTCTGAAGGAAGATCGTGTATTTAAAAAAATCCAAGGCGTTAATACATTATGTATAACCAGTCATAGCAAATACCTACTGGTCATAAAAATAACTGTTAATTATTGTTAACGAGATAACTTTAAACAAAGTTATCGCGTTGGTTGATGTTGTCCATAAATATCGATTATACAACCGAAATGGAACATATTGAAATTAAAAAAAAATCTATATCATAACGTTTACGGTCCTTTACCCTATGCTACGAAATTGGCAAATATGATCCGAGCACGCGCTAATTTCGAATTACTAGTTTTTGATACGTTTGGGACATATTATGTATTTGTTTTGATGGCAATATATCAGTAATGGCACTCCAATCTGTCACTAATAAGGTGTTAACGAGGGTCGTTCTTTTATGTGCGTTTTATTGATACTTGAGATATTATCGTCCGCTACCTGACGGAGTTTAACGATTTTCTTATTGGTCTCTTATTGAGTATGAATTAGAGATGAGCACGTGGTGCGACATTTTAAAGCTTTTGTGCTGTGAGAATATTTGGATTTTCCTCGTGAGTATTTAATTGATTTGAACCTTTTTATCAGCGTTTAAAGCAGAGTTTGGAACTCATACCAAGTACCTATAATACTATTAATATAATACGAAATAATCTAATTAATATTTTGACTAAATATAATTTTTGAGAGTTATATTTCTTAATTCATTTTTAATGTAGAGGACGGTTGTTACAATAACATAAAACAGTAAATTATTTTAGATATTTTCCCTCGAAACCTTTAACTGTCAATCTTATGTAAGTCGAATTTAAACACAAGAACATATTTTCTAACTTTCATAATCGCTGTCAACTGACTTAAAACATACGTAAAAAATTGAATGGGTGCAGTGGTATGGGATGCACACTAACCTGCGATGGCCATCCAGGGTAGAAGGTGTGGTTGGTGGGCTGGTGCTGGACGGGCTGGGCGCTGGCGGCGGCTCCGGGCAACGCGCACTGATTCCCCCACGGGAGGGCCCTTCCGGGACTCGAGGACTCGCTGTACCGGGCCTCCGGGGTGCAGGCGGCCGGCCTCACCAGGGCACCGAGGCCCGAGCCCCACGCCTCCTTTCCATAGCCGTTCTGCTGTTCGGCGCCCGCTTTCGAGCAGTCCGCCTTGGCGTACTGCTGCTCCCCAGCGTAAAGTTTACACGCGGCCGCCACTGAGGCATCATAGGGTGAGTCCTGGGGCCTGGGCTGGTGCAGCGCGTGCGGCTGCGCGTACGTCAGCCCGAGCGGGAACCCCCTATACTGGTCGCCACCACCGCCGCCCTGGTGCACTCCGTGCGCCCCGTAGAAGCCGCCCTGCTCGAAGTAGGAGTTCATTTTGGACAGTCGCGCTCACCAGCCACCACTTATGTCATCGCGGCCCGGCGCGCGCTGCCAACAGCTCTCGCCGACTGTCCCGGATTACGGCGACGTCACTTCGGCACCATAATGCGCGGGCAACGAGTGTCGGTATCGGTGTCTGTGTCGGTTGCGCGAGCGAAGTTTGCGGCGCGAGTGTCGGGCTAGTGTCGAGAGCGACCGGCGCGTCTCGGCTCACGCAGTCTACTGAGAGTGGAAGCAACACGCGCGCCGCCCCGCGCGCCGCCTGCTAGCTACGCCGACCATTGTTCCGTCCCCTTTTCGCTAATCACTATAAATATTATCAGTTGCGCTCTCTCCTCTATTCCTTATCACACCGCGAACACGTGGTTGGCCTTACGGGAAACCTCCGGCTTCTTTTGAATGCGCTGTTTCTTCCGAACGTCGTAATTGCGTTAAGTGTAAGTGCAAATAAAAAATACGTTCGTAAATAAAGTCAAGTGGCTTATCCTTAAAGTCGAGTAGCCAAAGAGTCCTAATGAAAAGAAAAAAAAAACAGCCACCGACAAAGCTCGATAACGACACAGTAAAGTCGAGCCGCAAAAGTCGTAAATTCATAAACGTACAATTAGTGAAACGGGCGAGTAAAGAAAAGATTTTACAACCTCTCCTCGGACGGGCCACAATGAGCGCAGTATCGTAACAAGGTGCTGAATAGAGTGAGAAGTCGTAAAGATGATTATTATTTCTTCTACTACCTGTTTTTACGACGGTTGGCGGCGTCACTGTCGCCCTTGCGCGGGATCGGCTCGCGCGAGCGGGACGGCCGTTATTTGTAGAACGCATGTAATCGGCCCGGTGCCGCGTGATTGATAGCCGTCCCTTTCTAGCGCAGTGAGGCGCGTGCAGTTTGAAGCGCACTATTGAAGGGTAAACAATGGCGCATTATCGCCGGAGCACTCGGTTTGCGCGGCCAAATGAAGTCATCAAACGAATGAATGGCTCTTGGTACAGGAGACACGCTCACATTTTTATTGCGGACACCTCTTTAAACAAATACACCGCGGTAATAAGGGCGGGATGTATCACAGGATTTTTTTTTCAAACCACCGCTCGTAATCGACCAATTTAGGGCCATAGAAGTGCCGATGCAATCAGATGCTAGGTTTCTTTCAAGTTAATTATAATAATTGTACACTCCTAGTTAATTAAGGATTTGCGCTTCGAGATAATGATTTAAAAAATTATTAACGTTCCATTTTAAATACATGTAGAGCTATAAAAAAACTTTAAGAACAGTTTATACAAAACATACATACATAAAAACATTTCGTCATTAAAAAAATTAATAAATAATAACAATTATAGTTAGAAAACAAAAAAAAAAATTACAGATAACTGTTTATAAACAATATATATGTTCATTTGTACAGTTGAAATATCTTGCAGGTTACTTACTTTCTTTTATGCTTGTACCTTTTAAATCAAAGTCGAATCTGAAACAAATTAATTCAACTTTTATTTATGGCTATAATTATTGTACTACTTCGAAAGTTGAGAAAAATTAGTACACCAATTTCAAATGGCTAAAATAGGACAAAATTTGCCATTACATATATCAGAAGTATAGTATAATACATTGATACATATTTAAATAAATATTCATAAAAATATTACGAAAATAAGATACATGAATCAGTTCGATGACAGTTTTGTAATTTAATTCGCACCATTTTTACTTAACTTGTATGTGCTTACTGGCCAAAATATCTATGAAAAACTAATGCTTGTCCTAATATCATTTGATGGTAAGAGACGACGTACCAGCAGGTGGCCAAAACTACCAACTACCTCGGTAAAAATCTCTCCGCTCTCGCACTGAAGACACCCACTTTCAAACAGAAATTTAAACAGACTTCTTAGGCAGTAGATTATTTTTCTTCTGTTTTAATGTAGCGTTACATAAACATCGCTGCCCACCACTCTGAATTATAGGCGTCTGTGTAAATAATCCAAAGGAAGTACTAAATTCACGACTCAAGTCATATCTTTTCAAAGTTGGAGTAAATCTTTACAGCAAGAATGAACTCTATATATCTCGAGTTGCCCAATGACAGCCCAATATCAAAGAGAACCAAAAGTTGTTTTTTTGTTTTTTGGTGTAATACCACCAATTTTAATAAAACAAATTTATACAGGAGTCATGGGTACTAAACATAAATGGTGGTGGTAGATTTAAAAAAAGAATATCGCTAGATGAAATGTATATTTCTTACTTGGATGAATAAATGATTTGGATATCAAATTGGGTACTTCGAAACGTCGCCTATTTAAAATAAAAATCAATTGCAATAAGATTCATTACTTTTATTATATGTGTAACATTCGCGAAAATGAAAATAAGTTATTATGTAAAAAGAATCTTATCACTTTGTCAGCATTATGGTAGAGCCACGCAGATTGTGTCTTAAAATTAATTTGTCGACTATTTTAAGAAATAACCATGGTCTTTAAAAATCATCATCATCCTGCTCTTGCCCTCATCCAACCTAGGTACAACAGGTGAGAAGCGTAAGTGGTTTTGCCTAGATTTTTTACGACTGGCTGCCTGCCTCGCGTCAACCCTTCTAGGTAATAAACATTGAGATTCAGAACAACTATCGGTCTTTATAAATATCGGAGTAAATTATAATAAACTATTTAAACTTCTACGTTTCGAAGTACTGATAAGGTATCAGGACTCTACTACCCTTTTTAAATGTTAGCAACGCACCAAGTAATAGAAAGTGTGAATACGCAAAAGTAATAGAATGCGAATGTCATAGTTAATAGTTTACAGTGAGCTTAATTTCTTTTCCCACCTCCTAAAACAGAAAAGAATAGATAGGGTAAAATTTGAAAGAATTAATTAAAGGTGAAGGTAAAATCCTAAATAAAAAAAACCTACCCTCAAAGAACAACTATTGAAATTACTTATCTATATATGAATTATCGACAATTATTGAAATCCTGTTTACTATACTTTTCTAGATGCAATCAATAAACTGCGTTTCGATGTGATGTGATATGGAATTGTTTATCATCTTGTTTACCGAAAAAAACCAAGGCAACTGTTGATCGTAAAGGTCGATACTTCGAACGATGCGTTGATTGCTTCCTTGTATGGTGTCTTATTATATTCCATGCAGTAAGTTGGGTATTCGATAACTGCAGGATGTCATTTCGAAAGCGGGAAAAAACGCGATTTTAAAGTAGTTTTACGCTATTAAATCGTAAAGTCATAATTTCAGACATCTCTCCAAAACAACTCTACTATCGAAAATAATGAAATAGGTATTTAATGTTTGTCAAATTTGATTTGATTGAGTCAAGAACAACTTGATACGCTCGCATCCTCTATGAAAATCTTAAAACGCTAACAACGCTAAAAGGACCAGATTTAGCAAATGTACAAATATTATATTGCGTTGTAAATCCTTCTGGAAATCGTATAATTATGGTTATATTTTAAACTTAACCCTTAGAAATATAATACTTTATTCTAATCGATCGCTTTTTTGATTGACTGAGCTTTTTCCACTATCTAAATAGTAACCAGTGAAAACGTGAAAAAACCTAGGAATATCACATTTTAAGTCTTGTATATATATAGATATATATATGCACCGATAAATTTATTTTCAATTTGTTCTACAATAAGGTACCGATAATTTATGCACATATACTCGCTTTCAAAATTTCTTTTTTCTTTAAAGGACTGAAATCTGGTCACCACATTCACGGGACAGAACGATTAATACTTCCACTTCACGCCGGTCTTATGTCAAGCCGTGGAAATTCCCTGCCTGCCTGCCTCTTCGTAAAACAGCTGAAGCAGCTATGAGGCTCTACCATAGTAAAATGTTGTTGATAAGAGTGACTGTTAAATGAAACATTTTTTTTTAATTTGATCCCGTTTTTTAATGTTAAAAGAAGGCAAGCGAACTGGCGGTTCACCTGATGTTAAATGATAACTGAGTGGCCCCATTACAGTAATTATTTTGATTAAAATAAAGTTTTAATTTAATTCCGTTTCGAACCCGTTCAGCGTACAGCGCTCTTGATTACAAGACAGACTGATATGTTTAACGTTCTGAAGTCACAGTAAGAAACCTGGAGTTCTTTCAATTGCTTTTATAATGTATACAGAACTTTATGGTATCTTAAAATCTACCAGTGTTGGTGTGCTTTTTTTATAAATTAACGGATCCAAGCTGATGAAATCAATTGTATTAGCGATTTGAGATTTGTGGAATAATGAACTGTACATTGATAAATTCGACTACATAGTTACCATACGGTACAGCCATATAAGGTGAAAAAAAAACATTTTCATTTGTCTGTGGCCGGCCCATACGGCGATGACGTTTCGGGATGTAATACAGCCTTACAAAAGACCGCAAATTTTCACGCAATTAGAACGTAAAAACCATCACCATCACATTCTTGATATTAACATAATATGTGAAATAAGCACAATTTTTACCATCTCTGACTGCCCCATGAGACTTAAAAATTGTCTGTCATAGGATTATTCAAGCACAATACCTTCAATGCAATGATATTACACCAATACTTGATTATTACTTGTCTTCCAAAAATGCTGTTTACGGAGGAAATCCACCCAGTGATATTGTTATGGTCGTTACATTGCGTAACGCTGCCAGCAAGATCCCTTCAACTTGAATTCCCCTAAAACCGACGTAATAAGACCGACAGTGAGTTTTATGCTTTAATAAGATTTTACGATTTGAAAAAAATAATAGATTCTTTCCGGTTAGACGTACCCAATTAGAGTCCAATTAGAATTACTCCAAATTTCTTTGAGGGTCCGCTACGCGCAACATTTATTGCGCCAATAAATTAACTCGTTCTGGGTTTTCATATTATTGCCGTTCTGTTATGTTGTAATGGAATGAACAGTGTTGTGTAACGATTAGTTAACATATTTTTACCTTGATAAAGCTAATTGTAATCCCTTGCCAGTAACAGCCATCCTCATGTGAAGAACAAATGTTTCTGCTTTTTGCCATAGCCAGTACGCAGAATTAAGTCTCATTACCGGACTAAGATCGTGCGATACCATGCCAAGTTGTATACAATTTGACTTAAAAAACTGATTGCTACGTTTGTTATTTTCCTACTGCGAAGATTATTATCGAAAAAACAGACATTAACTGACCTTGTGACTGAAAATCTTAAGACTGATGCGCAACTCAACTGAAAATAATAACACTTTTGTCGTATCCAAAAACTTAGGGACGGCAACGAAATATAAAAAAAAAAATAGAAATATAATCAATATGTATAAAACAAATGAAACATTCTGAATAATTTTAGTCTTTTATATCTCTATGTAAGTGAGACGTTGTCAAGGGTATCTCATAACGTGTGTTTGGAAATAAAAAGTGCAAGATCATTAGGCTAAATTCCTTTAGAATTGTTACTGATTTTTTTTTTGTGAAAAGTTGCCAAATATATAGGCGGTTCACCTGATGTTAAATGATTACCGCCACCCATGGAGATCTACAACACCTAAAGGATTGTACAGGCGTTGACAACTATTAAAAAGATGGGCTCCGGTTACCTCACATGCCAGACGAAAGTATTGTTACTACCACTTCATGCCGGTCTTGTGTGAGGCCGTGATATATCCCCAGACTAGCCTGACCATTCGTGCAAAAGCAAAAGTTGCGCGTGGACCTACCACAGTCAATTATTGTCTGATAAATCAGCAAGACTGACCTGAGTTAGATATGACGCATTAGAGTAGGTAAAGGTTTTATTACCGTATAAAGTTAAGCTTTAAAGACTAGCGGAATAGTAGAGAAGTTTAGAGTTTTGTAAATAGGAAATAATTCTGTCAATGGACTCCAGTGTCCTCTGGATTTTAGTCATACTTAAGATTGTTTAGTCACATTACATCACATCTCATCAAGATTGCGTATCTTAGTAACCACAGATTCAATTTAAATATGTCAATAACAGAAGCGTATCAATTCACTCTTATTTTAAATTATTTTTGTTAATTTTTCTGTTGTGTGTCTTTCTTTCTCTAAAGTACGTGTATGTTGGAGTAGCTGGAGATATTATAAACGTCCAGATCCCAAACAAAAACCCGGGAAGTCGTACAAATACATGTGCCGTGGGACCCGAAACTATGACCCATGACGCTAAAGACAGCAACTAAGCTATTGCTTAGTTTTCCACCGAGAAGTCCCTGATCGAGTACTAGTGTTAGCATGAACTATTAATCATTACTAGCGGAGCACACGTAAATTGTTCAAAAATAACAAAAATCCTACTCCCCCAATCATAATCGACTATTACAACTGACATATGAATCTTTATTATTGGCTCTTGGCTACGACACCGGGGGTCGTGGGATCGATCCCCACATGGGACAAGTATTTTTGTTTTTGTACCCACAGATTAATGTTCCGGATCTGTGTGTTCGTCTCGAGGAAGGTTGAGGTTATGCAATAAAAATCCTTGAATAATCCTGATAGCCAAAACTGTGGTAGGGCCACACTGCAGCTCTTGCACGAATGGGCTAGCTCGTCCGGTCGTGGTACGACCTCACAGAAGACCAGCGTAAAGTGGAAGTATAATACTTTCGCGTTTCGTCTCGTGAGTGAGGTAGCCGGAGCCCAATTGACAACCTTTTGGAAATTGGGCTCCTCGGGTGTATCCATGGGCGGCGGTATTCAATTCGCAACTTTTCACATAAAAACACTTACTTTCATGATTCACATGTTATGCCTACCCACTGAGGTGGAATAAGACCAGGAGGATGATCTAAATAGTTTATGTAAAGCATAATTAACACCTCCGTTTTATCAGAAAGGTCTTAGCTAAGAGCGAGTATTGGTCGCATAAGTGAATACAATCGTTGAACTACGACTCGAGTCGAGGGCCTTAGTCATCACTAAGTGGTATAATGTTAGTTATCGTTCAGCTCATGTAAATCGTGCGGAAATCGCGAGAAACCCCCAACCGATAGGATCGCAATCGCGCGGGCCATCTAAGAGCTCATTCGCATTCAGGCGACAGATGGCGCGGCGCCGGCGCAGGGCACGCGCCGTAAACACGATTTTTACAACCACTTGAGCGCTCGTAAAAGTCACGTGGACCGCGCCGCTCGTAGAGGGCCCGCTGTAAACAGGCGCACCGATTATTCCGTATACGCCGCCGGGCCTGAGCCCCAGTTGTAAATTCGTGAGTTTACGAGCGGCCGACGCGCTGCGCGTTATTACGGCGCTCTTTAGACGTTTATTGAACCGTTATTGACTCGGTTTAAAGTATCACCCGCTTAATAGAGATAAAGGAGCTGATTGTTTATGTCTTCATACAGCGCGCGCCCGACGTCTAGATGTCTACGCTCGCTGTAATGGCGCGTTTATGATGGCAATCTTTGCCTTTTTATCGTGCGCCGCTGCTTTAACGGCCGGCCGTGTGATTGGTATCAATCAATGCGTTTATAATGGCCCGTCGCGGTCCGGACCCGCGCTTTGATATACGGCCCGCTTAAGTACGCTCCGTACGTGCCCGGTTAGCTCGATAGCACGCCATTTATATCCTTCGTTAGTAAAGCCGCTGGGCCCACGTGATGCGTTTGTTGGTTAAACGCTTTGATGCTTCGCTACGAGACGAATGAAATATACGTACAACGCATCCTTTCACATATTGACAGCTAACATTTGAATACCAATAAACAAGTGACGCTGATTTCATCCACGGACATGCTGCAGGGGCTATCCTCTATAGGGATTAAGGTTGAGCGTGTAGATGCTTAAATAGTAAAATAACCAAAATTAATGAAACTTTTAGTAAGAAAAATTAAACTACTTAAAAAAAAAAACTACTTCATCATAATGATGAACATACTTCAGCATCATCATTTAGGCCAGTTCGAGTTCAATGCTTAACATAGGCCCATAGAGTGCCACCTGCATCCATCGACTTCCCGCAGCATTTGCAGAAGTCTATTAATTTCCCGCAATATTACTTCCGGATATGAAAATTATTTTTTAAATGCAAAATATTTCTACAGAAAGGGGCAATAACTTTCATAACCTTAAAATTTTTATGCCACCGCCTTCTATCTGTTTGTGAAATGGCTTGAAGCTGAATGATAGCTACCTTGACAAGAGCCGTGATAGCTCACCGTCCGGGCGCTCATTTTTAATTCAAAATACTCGAGCGACCGGAGTTCGATGCGCGGTATCGGCACCAATGAAATTGTAAATTATAAGTGCTGACCACGTGCTCGGGGGTGAAGGAAAACATCGTGCGCAAACCTGCATATTTTCAAAATAACAACAAAAAAATTTTGAAGTTATGTGAAGTGCACCAAGTCACCAAGCGCAGGGGGGTCGCATGGTGGACTATGCCCTAATACCCTCAGCACAGAGGAGACCTTTTCTCGGCAGTGGGACATACTATAGGCTGGGCTAGGCTACACACAATAGGCTGAACTACTTTATTTTACTTTACTTTTGACGATTCATTGCTTCTATGTACTATATGCCTGGGTTGAATATCATTTTTATGACTGAAAGATTCCTTTAAACTATCTCCAGTGAATTCATTGCCCCTACGCTTCAACTATAAGGGCTCTTTCGTGATGTGTGCAGGGAAGAAGTGGAACAGTTTGTCATCGTCAGTTTCCCCATCCGATTATAATGGGAGTGTCTTCAAGCTAAGAGTGACTACACTGTTAATGATTAGTGCGTTCACAATATCATAAAACATCTTACTTACCATCAGTTGAGATATTAGTCAAACATTGGACCCGTTTTAATGGGTCAAAAAGAATAAAATCTACGCCAGCGACACGTGACATGAATGAGTTGCTTAAGAACAACGCAGTTGATCGGAGTAGATGAAAAAAATTAATACTACGAACAGAAAACGCAAATCTGTCATTTTAAAGCAAGGCAAGATCTTATCAAAGATTTTTGTAACAATTTGTTGGATATCACCAGTGGCGGATTTTCAGTCTTGGCCGCCCTAGGCTCCAGGTCATGTAGTAATTACCAGCCACCGCTTTTTAAGCATGCAAAATATAGACTACAGAATGAATTTACTCTATTACAATCTTGTATCGAAATAAATTCAGCAAGCTAACTATCAAAGCTGCTAGTTTGTAATATTTACCGATATTTGTTCCTATGATTACAACATTAAAACAGTTTTAGATTTTATTTATGTAACTACAGATTTGTTCTCACACAAAATAAGATGTTATAAGTATTTTACATTGTCAAACGTTGTAGAAAAAAGGGCGAAAAGTTATTCGCCGCTGCAGGAATCCAACCCACGTCTTCGCGATTCGCACCCAGACGCTTTAACCACTAAGCTAAACGACCGCTTGCCGCACTGACAAAAATCTCAAAACAAACAAACTTTTATCTACATTATTTTTTCGCTTTTCGGGCAAGGTTTGACGCATCTATTGTTAAGCCAGCTTGGCTTTACAACTCTACATAATTACGTAACATCTCCATTTTTTTTTAGATAAAATGTGCGAAAGAAAGAAAGTGATTTGGGAAGATTATTGTTATACGAAGCGGTGCAGTGTGCCCCACCATAACGTGCGCGATCCTTTAGAATATTTAAATTCCTTGAGTTCCCTCTTCATCATCAATGAAATTTTTCTCGCTTGCCCGCCCCTAATTTCTGGCCATCCTAGGCCGGGTCTACTGGGCCTTAGGGCAAATTCGCCACTGATCAGCATAAATAATCAGAAGGTAATAAACATAATTAGTGTCCTGTCCGTTATATAATTATTACAGCTGTTTGTTTTTAGTAATTTTTCCTATAATATATGAGTCCTGAGTATGCGCATTAGGTATTGATATTAGTTTTAACGGTAAAATGTTCTGTACTTACATTACGGCCGTGATACCTCAGTGTCCGGGCCCTCGCCTTTAATTCAATTTACTCGAGCAACCTGAGTTCCATCCCCGGTGCCCATGAAATTGTTACTTTAAGTGCTGACTTATCACGTGCTTGGCGGTGAAGGAAACATCCTGAGGACACCTGCATATTTTTGAAATAATAACAAAAAAAAAATTTCGAAAATATGTGAAGACGACAAGATTGGCATGCGGATAGTAAGCTTGGTGTTTCCTTTCAGTTTTAGCAATTTATTATCAGTCTCACTAGGATAATCTAGACATAACGAGAGTTGCGAATTTATAATTTAGAGCCATTGCATATACAATATCTTGTTTAAATATGCTCTAATAGGGTCCATTAGTTAGACATCAAAAATGTCCGTATGTGAAAATCATATAAATTAGCTATTTAATGTAAATTGATTGGATGGTATGGAAGGTATGTTAATGTTTTCATATGCCCTTAATCTAAAGTAGCGCCATCTATGTTTTCCATATGCAATACAAGAGTTCTTTTGAAATTGTTAGTATAATTGTTATTAATTATTTTAAAGTTATCAAATTAAAATGTAAAATATTTATTGAACATATAATCAATATTGCTTTAATAATAATAAACATAACAAATACTCATATTCTGCCATCTAGCGGAATAACCATAAAATAAGGCAAAGTGGAATAGTATTCGAATGACATTGACCTCGAATTAACATAAAAATGTAAGCCTTTAAAACGGATAATAATTTTCTATTCTGAATATGATTATTTGACACACAACACAACACTTGCCTGAGCAACTTAATTTACATATACAAAATAGCAACGGATTTAATTACCCATTATGGAAATGTTTAATTAAATATTATGAACTTTATAATTTTTCTGTCAATGATTCACTTTTATTATCTCCTTATCTCTACATATGAGAAAATTATTGAAAAGAGGTATAAATGCCAATAGAAGTGCGATAACGCAATCGTAACGAAGGATTTTATTGCTTCATACATCATTCGATCATATAAATTCATCAAGACATTTTTAATCATAAAATAAATCTTATTATGCTGTAAAATGATGTTTAAATCGAAGACAAGCGTTTTATTTTCGTCATAACAATAAAATTTATTTTTACGACCTCGATGTAGTGCGGTTGTCTTTAGCGCCATCTAACGGGAATCAATGGGTTTACGAAGTTACAGCTATTAGTTGACGTCACTTTATAGCAACTCTGTTTTACGACTCGTTCAACGTTCGAATGAATGGAGGTGTCGTAAATGTGGATTTGAGGGTTACGCTTACTGTAGTTTGAGTGATTTAACAGATTTTCTTCAACCTCATGTAGTCTATTTCTATAAAAAAAGAAAATTAATTTCGTTATACCCTAGAAGCAAATGATGTGTTGTTGAATGTGTGGCTCTTTTTATGAAATAAGCAAATTTTAAATAAAATTAAAAAGTTAAAAAAAAGTTTTTTTTTAAAATAAATCTTCAATTCACACGATTAATTCAACACACGAGTAAAAATAAAAACTAAACTTAAAATAGGAATTTCTTTAACTGATTTGCCAAAACTATTTATTTACCAATTGAAACGAAGATCTAAACCCAAACTAACCTTACTGATTCCCGCTTGGGATTTGATCCACCAATGCAAACTTATACAAAACATAGTCCCCACGCATTTCTAACCACATTAAAACTAGACTAACTTTGCATAAGTGTCCCACTTACGCACATGCATTTTTGATAGTGCTGTCTCCCTCGCACGCGATCGTCAAAATGGCCTCCAAACGAGATGTTTTGAAGGAACGCTCACCAACTTTTGTTGCTTGTAATGGGCGGAGCGTGCATGCTCAGGAACGTATTTGGTGCGTCTACGATATTAATATGACTTTGCCTACGTTTTTTATGTTTATTAAAGATACAAATTCATATAATAAAACTAATAGATCGTAAATTCGACGAAAGTTAAAAATTATGAACTACTAGGTGCTGCCCGCGACTTCGTCTGCGTAGAATAGGCTGAAAGCGTACATTCAGACAGAAAGACATATACAGCGTGTCGTTACCATCGCGACAATAAATGAACACACATATAGGGGATAACTTTTTAAAGTTGTATTAAACATTTAAATTCTTTAAACATCAATATTTACAGAGTTATTAAATTTTCCAAAACAAAGAATTTTAGAACACCCTTACCTATAAAAGCGTGACGTAAAGTTCATTTGTAAAGGTCACAAATCATATGAATGGGTTGAATGAATTTAAAAGAGACAAAACATACTGTTAGAAGGAGAGGCTTGTAATATGACGCTGTGCGCGAGTTGTATAGGATGTTACAAATTTTGTTTCTTTTTTACTTAATTAGTTTATTTGAAAAATAATTTTTTTTAATTATGGATTTTGTTTAACGTTAATATTTTTTTATGATTATTGGCAAGTATCGATAGACGTGTGTTCATTTATTGTCGCGATGGTAACGACACGCTGTATAAATAAAATATGTATATAAATTATAACCTATGATATTATAGCTATATTATTGTAAACTTTCATTAAAATCCATTCAGTAGTATTTACGTGAAAGAGTAACAAACATCCATCCATACACACAAACTTTCGCCTTTATAATATTAGTAAGGATAATGTTCATCTACATGGTGTATGCAAATCGATATTCTTAAGATAACAGTAGAACTCAACACATTTTTATTGAAACGTTTATCGAAATAATTAATAGAACAAATGTAACTGTTGAAATTTAAATAATAAAATCTCTTAACACTTTTTTGTTAAAGACGTAATAAAATATTTTAATAACGTTTGAGTACGACCCTGGACATCGGGATTTGGATATGGCGACCGATGCCTTTAGTGACGAACGGCAAGAGTGATTGTGTTAGTTTTTAAAGTGTTATTACAATTTTCTCAACCAAAATCTTGAAGATCAGTGTAAAAAGAAAACGTGGTATTGCACTTGTGACGTCAAGTGCCTGTGTTTTGGAAAAAATGTGCAATTATAGCGTCGTTATTGAACAATGTCTATATGCGTCCGCCATTACAGTTCAACATCGATAGATATGTAGCCATCCCTTTTACTCCTATAGTAAAACATGAGATGTAAGTTGGGTAATAGAAATCCGCCATAGAATGTGCTTCTTTTAACTTTTATATCGATTTTAGTTGTAATTACAATTACTGGAAAGTGTTGTATTGATTATAAATCTTTTATGGTTCCTTTCTAATGTTGTGTTTATTAAAATAACCTAGTATGATTAAAAATTGTGGAACCCTGAGATTTTAATCGCATTGGTTACCGATACCAATTAAATTAGTTTCTTAAGATTTCAATATATAGAGCATAGTATTAATCCTGATCAATGTTTTCAATGCTCTGCCATTCTAAGTTTGAATAGTTCGAAAGTGATGAATAATACATTTGCATTTGTTGAAATGTAGAATATAACGATAGACAGCTATTGACAAACTTAATAATATGTTAGTTATTTTTATTGAATTGCGGTCCAATTACAAATGTGCGCATTCAACCATTTAAAACTTGGAATTTTTATACAAAGTAGGTATTATAAATATTTTAATGTTATTATCAAACAAGTCCATGGACGCGTGATTATGTACCTATGCCTACCTGTCGTAATTAGTTTTCCCGCTCGTTTTACTAAGTAAATTTAATATATCAACTGATATCACATTAGTTGAATTAAAATACGATTAAAATCATCACTTCGATATTATTTATTAATTAAGTAACAAAGCTTCTATGATACTATGCGAATTCAAACCTACAACAGGCCGCTAACCAAAATTAGGTGTTGTTATTAAAGCGAACCTTCTGGAAACCGTCTCTTGTGTGTATACCTATATATTAGTATTTAAATCGATGTTGTCAGAGCGTTCCGTATGATTGGTCGGGCTGCGACAATTCTCGCGCGACGGTAACTTGACCGATTATTAGGGCCTTAAAACAACCGGTCGAGGCGCACGACCCAGGGCGACGTTGCGACGGAATTAAAAATTGATTGGGTAATTTAAATTCGGAATCACGCGCGCCGCTTCCCGCCCGAGCGGCCGCTAATTTTGCCCACGCACCGCCAACGCCATCCCACCCTGAGCCCGTGGTTCTGACGCCCGGATAAGGCTGCAAAACATGGACGCAATTATTCTTATGCCTATGTCTTTCACTGAGAGAAGACGTCAGTGGTATGTGATTTTAGGTTATCAACGTCTAAACTGAGCGAACCTCATTACCGTGGAGTTATGTTGGCAACAACCTTTAATTTGAGTCTCCTTAAGTCGATTTGGACAAGTATTAATACTTCCCGGTTACGGCGATCCCCTGTGACGTTCTCTCCCGGGAGAGCTGGGTAGTTTTTTGTACTGCTTTAATCAGCTTGTTTGACCAGCATTTATATACAACGGCTTCCATGAAGTTGTCCTTTTTAACACACGTTAAAGTCACCTCAAGATAGATACAAAAAGTAATACTTCATTAGATCCTGTACTTCATTAGGATTTATAACAACATTTCTTAGTTCGTCATTTCTTGAGCCGTTGTTTTCAGTTCTCCAAGCAAAACGTCCGGTGCAAACGAGCCCTTACACGGGAGAAAGGTAACCAAGAAATACTATACATGTGCACGCTCTAACTGACCGCTACCGAGCTGAGCATTATAATAAATATTTTAACGCGTCATATTTCGTCAGACTCGGGTCTACTTGCGCTTCGACGCGTAATGTATGCCAAAAATAGCACCTTCGTAATTGAATGCGGTTTTAAATTTCGACCCGTCAAAAACTATGAGTTAGAGGCGTGAACGTCTTATCGAAAAAAAATAATACTATGTAAATAATTTACGACTTAAGTGATATTTTCGAATATCGGAGGCATTTGTTCAGTGTTATTATTTCATTACTTGTTTGTGTATGTTTCTTTCGTAAATCCCGTTTTAGTTCCATCTGTTTCACTAGTTATGCAAATTGTATTGATATAATATGATATTCTGTTAGTTATGACAGAAGTGTTACGATAGATAGTAGGTATTCTGTTTAATAGCATGTCAATATTAATCATTTCAGTAATAACAAGATGTTTATAATCACAAAACGTTACATACAGGATCTAGTCATATATTGAAAGCTGAGATGCTTTACATCTTAAGTCTTTCTAGCTTTTGACCAATATTTTTGCTGTAATAATTTCTACACGATAATCTTATTTGATTTAATGATTAGCGTATATATTTCGATATGTATTTGGTAATTTAGAAGCTAAATTTGGTAACTTAGATTTGCTTTAATTGAAAATATTTGAAATTGAAGAAAATCAATGACTCTGTAGTATTTTTACAATTTAAAAATTTATGTTTAACAAATTATACAAGAACACTTCATTTGTAATCTAACTTTAGAGTTTTGGTCGTGAGTATTGAGTGATAAATATTGAAAAAATTAGTCATAAAGTATCAGACGGTTCTTCACAACTATTTTTGAAAATTGTTACTGTATTTATAAAACACTGATAAATGTTGCGTTTCACAATAGTTTTGTTTCAACAACGCCACAATTAGTTATTTTCCAATGACAAGTCCTTCGTCCTCCTGAGATAACGTCCCGACGATTTACAGCCGATAACACAATCAAGGAATGATTTGTTCCTTTGTAACTACTGTTGTCCTATTGACCCCAAGATTTATTGCCGCAGACAGTAAACTTTACAGAAATATGTTTACAAGTAATTTGTTGTTTCACTCGGCGATTATAATGACGAACTCGTTGAGGAAGAAAATACTAGTTTATTTATGTTATAGCCCATTTGCACTAAACGAAAAGTATTGGAGTGACGTATGTTTTTGAATATGTGGCAAACATATTCATGTATCAGTATCTGATGTAGCGTATGGACAGGCTTCTGCGGGGAGTGACCACAACCTCACTGGATACCTACAGAAGTTTAAGTATATTTTTGGACCGACTTCAAAAAAGGAGGAAGTTCTCAATTCGACTGTATTTTTTTATGTTTGTTACCTCTGAACTTTCGACTGAGCAACCGATTTTGATCATTATTTTTTTATTTGAAAGTTGGTGCTTCCCATGTGGTCCCATATTAATTTCATTGGTATTGGGTCTTGGGCTCCGGAGATAATTAGGGGACTCCTTAATATCAATTATAAAATGTACGCAGAGCGAGATATTTGGAGTTGGTTTTGTTTTTTGTTAGTAAAAAAACGCACTTGATGTATTGTATGTACTAAGGGTTGGGTATTATGCCCCAACGACCGCTCCGACCTAGAAAGTTCTATTGTAGTCTTGACCTTCTAAACATTGCCTCCTTACTGAAGGATAACATTGTCCTGGGTTGTAAAGACGTTTTACATTCATATGTTTCGCTTGGACATACACCCAGATCCGAAGCAATTATCCGTGGGTCACCCAAACGGTTGTCTCGTATGGTAATCGAACCTACGACCCCTGGCACTGAAGCCAATATCTTGGCAACTGCAACACGGAGTCATCACGTTCGGTACAAGGATTTCCATATCGTTTCTCGTCTTGGAAGTGGGATAAAAATGGTGTTGTAGATGTCTGTTGGCGGCGGTTCTCACCTAATTAGATCAAACATCTACTGGCTTGCCGGTTTATCATATTTTTTAAGGTGTTTAAATATTCGAAATACAGTATAACAAATCTGAGAAATGTTTGGTAAATTTAGTTATAACCCTTACATGTTCTAGAGTAGACTGAGATCTTAATATTTAAGGTACCGGAAATTAGAGTTAGTCGGCAGAATAATGAGAATGGTCTTTATGCAAGACATAAAGCAACCACATCCATGCAATCATCATGTTCCACTAGTTCTGAATTATGTTGTGATGGATCTAGAATTGTGGTGGAGCCACGCAATGGTGTTCACTGTTGCAGGAATGGGCAGGTCCGTCCGGGTACCACGGCCTCACCGGCGTGAAGTGGAAGTGTTATTCTGCGTTTCGTCTGGTGAGTGAGGTAGCCGGGGCCCACTTTATTTAAAGGTGGAAACGCTTCTGCGACCCTACGGGTGTTCCAAATGTTCCATGGGCAGCGGTTATCACTTAACATCAGGTGAACCGCCAGCTCGTTTGCCATTTTGTCACAAAAAAAATATTTTCATAATTTGGAGCAGTTCTTAAATACGGTTCGATGTTTCGGTTGCAAAGGTCGGGTCCGGCGAAAAAGGAATTATAAAATTTACAGATAATTTTTATCGTTGGTTTCACTAATAAATCATAATCTCACACTTTTGCTGTGTTCAAACGAGCTTAAAATGTTATTATTGTGTTTATATTTCATTCGAAATTATTCATCAATTAATTTTGCTTCTTTTTATATGTATTTAAATATAAATACGAGTGTGAAAGATACGTATTTATTGTGCTGTAATATACGAGATAGGATAGAACATATTTGTACAAGTTTTTTTTTTATTTTCACTTATGCGATATGATTTTTAATCGGTAAAATCTCCTTTGATTTTTTATACACAATTGAGTCTAGATTATGGTCGAAAAATAGTGTAAGGTTCGTGTTTCACATTTCTAGATTGCAAAAACCTTGGAAGAAATCCTTTTGCGATTGTTTTATTGGTTTAAGTTCCAAACCTTCTTATCTTCGAATATCCGATTAATTCGATCTAAATTGAGGCATTTTAAAGTGAGTTCGACACTTGAACTTCTCTTCGGGATTCACTTGATAAGTTCATAGATTTGGCCAATTTTAAGACGCACTAGAATTTTTGTTTTACAAAATTAATACTTAAAAATGATTGTTCAGTTAATTGAGATCTTGGTATTGGTAACTCAGAACTTGATATTAAGTATTCACGCTTTATTGAGTTTAGTTATTTTTGAATTAAAAGTTATTTCTATTTTCAGTTTTATGAATAAATTTTACTTTTTCCACTGTGTCATACAAATTCAAACCAATTAACTCGAAACTTTATCATAAAATTAAAATTTACAAATTAATACAAGTATCAATTCAATACAAGGTTAGTCAAATGGCGTTATTTCAATTTGAAGTTTTTTTTAACATACACGCAATAACTTTTATAATTAGGTATAAAGGTATAAAGAATAAATACCTACATACATAAATATCGATGGACGATGTATAGGTCCGCATACAATAACGTGCGTCCCAATAGGTTAAATTAGAAGCCCAGCTTTTATGTATTCGACAAATGTGTCGAGAATATAAATCAGGCAATTACTGTTCAAACATTTTTCTCTAAGAGAATCTACGGTTTAGAAGTCCCCTTCATAGATACATTATTACTCTATTGTTATAGCTATGTTCTATCTGTCGTTATAATTATGTGCAGCGCACTTACTGTGCAAGACAGTTTGCCGCCATGATTGGCTATACCTATAGATAAGCCATTTTCGGGCGCACCAGCGCCAAATTAATTAGGAACTGAAGAGATCGCTATGGCTGAATTCTATCGGAATCATCATCATCTATTGTTTGATTAGAGACGTAGATGTTAGGACAAGAAATAATAAATGTTTTTAGGCAATTATATCAGGCGTCCTGTTTTGTACTAAAGTTATCAAGTTAATTTAATTACGCTTGCTATTTACTATTCTCTTCTGTATCCGTTTGTATACGTACCCAAAAATCTTTATTTTGAATCAGTGATTAAAAAACTGTTTTACCGTGGTTTACCGTGCTGCATTGATTGGCTGAATCGTCCGATGAGTTAAAAAATATCGTAAAGTAGAAGTAACTAAACTGAACATCCAGTCTGAATGTCTATAGCCTCATTTGTTTAACTTTGTTTTATTAAATCTACCCTTTGACTACGTGTTTAAGTATAATAAGCGAATTAGTCTGCGTAGTGTTGTTTCAATCGGTCATTTGACACGGCTCAAGGCTTTATGCCCTAAGGAGGTTGGATAAACATCAACAATGGTGAATAAATCCCCGCAATCTCGGATCGCGTCCCCTGGGCCCCTGACGCCCACAACTCGAGAACGGCCACCAACACCAACAACTTCCAGACTTGTCGAAAACAAACTTCCCGCTCACTCATCGTGGCAACTCCGCGCCGCCGTTTCTCAATCGCCAACGCAACTTGGCGGGGAGTGAGGTGCGAACGAAAATAAATACCCCTCGGGTATCGTACTAGGCACGTGCCCCGGTGCCGCCTGCGCCTTCTACCGTTCGGCTGGCTTCGAGGCATTGTTTGTTTTCACACTTCTACCTCAGAGGCCGCTCGACTCGTGACCGTTTTATTGAGTACGCACACGTACATGGAATCTCGATTATACAATCGAGATTTATCAACTCGATGTCACTTTTGTTCTCGAACGGCATTTGGATATCTGTTATTACTCCTTTTGGTTTTCTGAACTGCAAGCGGTGCTTTCCGTACGGAATTTTCGTTTCATGCGTTTATTTCTGAACATTAAATTGGAAGGAGAAGTGGGGAAGTCAATTTTCAACAGAAAATACTTGAAAAAAAGATAACTGCATGTAATTTATGATAGGCATCGCTTTTTCTTCGTACATTACGGTTATTTTATTAAATGCTTAGTTTTCGGTAATAATCTTACAATTGGAGTAGTAAGCAACGGGATAATATTTCTTATAATGAATATTAGTATAATATAATATAGGTACATAGGTATGTTTTATTAAGAGTAGAAATCATATGTTAGAACAATTAAGCGAATTCTTAGAGAACATTAATATAATATGCTTTTATTTGGTATATTAATGAGTTTCTCTAACCCGTTTTAATTACCTTGTGGCGACTGTAAAACATGCATTGATAAAAAATTACCTCGATTTTCTAGGCGGCATATTTGCAGTGCATGAATTTTAACTCTAAGCAATGTACTTTTGCTTGGCGATAAATAGACATAGAATTAGTTTTCTTTATTCCTCTGAAAATTGTACTACAAATTCAACTGTTAATGATAGACAGCACAAGTGTTTTAAAAGATGTTTCATCTGGCATTAAAATAGTTTTAATTAAGGAAACACGCTTAGTAACTAATACAAATAAATTGTAAGCAGTCTCCGACGAGGCGATGCACTAATGGGTATTTATAAACCTTGTCTCATTATGATTTCATGAGTCACGTTCGAAGTGTAATAAATATAAGTGAGATAAATTTCATTTCATTTTTCATTCATTCACATTTTTTTTAAATATTTTTAAGTTTAATTCAACACAACAATTTGGATTCATTAAATAGATAAATTGCATTACTTTTTAAATGTAATTGCCTCTATTTGATTTAACTCACGGTATTAAAAATGGAAATTACATTACATAAAATGTAACAAAATGGACTTTTGTCTAATCCATCCGTGATAGGGAGATTAAGAAAGCAAAATTTTGTTCTGTTTTCTTTCTCCTAGCCTTCAAAACAACATCAATGCTTGCTGCAACCAACACAAATGCTTTTCCTTTGTGGGAATCGAACCCCGTCACCGAAGTCAATAGCAACTGCAAACGGAGTCATCATTAGTAAGAAAGCAAAATATTAACGATTATTTATAAAACGTGATTTACGGTTACAATAGGAAGCGGTTAAATCTACCCATTTGCTTATGAGCAAATTCTTATGGTGCTTTATATATTATTCTTATGATACTAATATTTTATATATTACACAAATATCTTCAAGCCTTGCGTCGACATTGGTTGCGTAGTTTGCGATGAAATGCAGATCGGTAAAGCTATGTATATTGTAATTGTCATATAAGAAATGTAGTGGTTAATAGGCCCCTATTTAGCCGTGTTTCTATGCAAAATACTAGTTTCGGCTCGACCTAAATATCTTAACACGAAAAGTTGTTATTTTTACCAACAGACAACCCTAGGTACGCTTATTTGAATGTGTTTTACATACACTAGACGCTATCCGCTTGCGCCAATGGTGCAGAAATAAAATAGGTATGCGTGACCGCTATGTCGGCACTATGTGATAATTCCCTTGCCTTGTTTGTTTATAGGTCCGGTGTGCGGCCTTTGTATGGGATGAAAATGAGCGTAGCCCGAGGTTTCCCAATCCATTTACTCAGGGCTCGCTTCTATGGTCGTCGACGTTAGTTTATTGTTAGATGAGAGATAGGGGGCCGATCTTATCGCTTCTGAATTGAATTGATTAGCGCGTGGAAGCGGTCCGTTTGCTATTTCAATCAGTTTCCGCGGCGGATTTGTTTTGAGCCTATTTCTTATTCACTGCGCGGAATTCAGTGGTGTTGAAATAATACGCAAGTCTGCCTTCGTGCCGGGATGTCTAGAGGTCGGGGTACTTGGATTCGAGTCTTTAATGCGGACGCCAATGTGTTTTGATTTTCGGATAATTTTCGATAGACGATAATAGTTTTGTTGCCATATTGGTAATTGTCTTTTCATTTGATAGTAGTAGATATTTATGTATCTTATTTGTCTTTTTGTCGTAAAGCACGCATATAGCGTGTCATAGATTTGAATAATATATGATTTTATATCGCATTAAGACGTACGACGTCTCCTTTCGTAGTTATATCGGTAAGTTGCGTAAGTCCCTTTGGGTACGTAGGTAGGAGCTATATTGAGATAAAAGGTGAAACATGGCAAAGGATCGACGCCCCGCCGGCGCCGCGGAGGGAAGCGTCCGTTGGAAATATCCGAACACCCTCGAGTTAGAGCTCAGCATAGGTTTACATGGAGGCTACGCGTTTAAAAAATACATTTTCCGTTTTCGAATTTCGACTCGTATCTTTTTTTGTAGTCTTATAGAATAACAAAGGAATAAGAAGTATTTTAAATAAAAGTATGAGTTAAGTGATTAAAATATCAACTGGGCCTAAGTAACGACGGTGTTGCTTACTTTATTTTGAATTTTAGATTTTTCCATTTTAGTGCTATAAAAATTCTAATAAGGGTTCAAGTAGTAGGTATCTGCCGAAATTGCTCTTGGTTGGGTAGGTATAAAGTAAATATATTGATTTTCAATCATTTTAATCTACCATCCCTTTGTAAAGCAAATACGACGATTAAATGCATCTATTATGCATTTAATCGTCAACAACATACAAGTACAAGTACCTACCTACGTAATTCATAATATAGGGTTTATTTCATTTAAAGTTGTAAATATTTGGTCCTTTAATATGGGTTCAGATAAAATTGCGTTTGAATTTCAATATTTATTATGTGTTACATTATATCAAATTACTAATTATAATTTATGTTGATATTAGGTTGTGAATTTATTATTTGTGTTTGAAATTTATAACTCAAAGGTATGCTTTGTTAAGTTTGCTTCTGTCATTAGATAGTTAAATCCACGTGTCGAGATAAAATCACTTTAAAAATAAAAAATTCAAAAGTCAAAATTGTAGGTGGTATTGTAGCGTACGATAGTAATAGTGTAATTATTTAATTTTTTAATTTAATTATTAGTATACACATCTTACCTCACCCTTAATGATAAAATAACAACTATTTTAAAATTTGTATAAAATTTAAATTTTATACAAATTTTAAAATCAAGACAATATAAATTTATCTTTTTATAATAATAAAACATGTTATAGACACTATCATGTTAAAAGCCGAGTTATAACACAAAATATTTTTAAATCACGCATCCGACTGGCCAGTCGTGCGACACAACTGACGCTCCATCTTGGAATGACGAGAAAAAGTCGGCCATTTTGTTTGCGCGTATGTAAACCAACGCGAGCTCCTCCCGCGGGCTGAGCGTCTAGCGCAACTAGAGCCTTGATCGAGCGAATATAGCTTTTATTGCATCGAAATAAGGTGTAGATATGGATCGATTATTCTTGGTTATATCTTATACGGGCTGTTTATGTAGCCGAAACTGCCGCCTCATACAGTGACGACGCTCTAGCATCACTTTCGTTATTATCGGGCGATTCACGACGTTTACTCGCTACAAATATCACTACTTCACTGTTTAGCTTTCATTTAGGTCTCACTTAGGATTTTATATAGAAATAAAACTTATCTCAGGTATTATTAAACTCAAACTAGCAAAACAGCCTTCTAGATAAAAAATAAAATGTTGAAGGAAATGTAAAGCTGTGCGTATGTATGTATATTTTTATATTAAAGTTATCGTTTAAAATAAAAACTTCTTGTCTTTTGAAGATCATTATCTTTTATTTTTATAACTTTCACATTTGATGTTAAATCCTTTACTAAATATTTAGAAAAATATTAATTTGGTACTTGTTTTATAATTATATAAACAAAATATTAATTTGGTAGCTCATAACGTGTAAGAGGATTAAATTTTTGATTAATTTGATAACAATGTGAACAATTTTAAACAAGATATGACATTGAACACTAGATGTAGATGTAATGTATACATGTAGACGCTTGCGTCCGTAATCATCCTTGAACAGTCAGCATATATTAGCAATAAATTATCGAGTGTTCTTTGGTAAACTCAAGATGAATTTATCAATTGGACCATTACATAAACGTCGATGTGGACCTAACTTTAAATCTCTACAAATTTACTATAACTAATATGTAATGCGTATTGTGTAAAATCATAGCAAAACTAAAGATTTATGTAGTACGCGCACGTATTATTTTTTTGGCAGAATGAATGTCTACAATTTCGTTTATTTTATTGTTCAGAGTTAAGGTCGATAAAATCGCGAATTTGCATTCTAAAAGACTTTTTGAAACGAAGAAAACTAAACAGGCAAGTAGGAATGTCTAAACACGATGAATATAAAACAGAAGCAACAATAAAACGTATAATTGTACTAAAACGGACATGCGCAATATCATTTATAACGTTGTTTCAAATATTATTATAAAATTATTATTATTATTATTATTAAATATTATTCAAACATTCCAAATATTCCATAACAAATATTTAAAATCAACTCAGCTGTAGAGAACCATGTGACACCGGACGCATCCACGAAAAAGACAGAACGCGCAGACGTATCTCCATCTCATTCACTCTAATGGGATCATAACCGTTGTTGAGACGTTCCGCTTTTTATGTTACGAGTGCGTCGTAAAATAAAAGTGCATTAAATGGGGGCCTCCGTTTGCATTGTCCGCGATTAAAAGCCGACCGAATTCAAAGGCCAAACATTTAGTATGCTCCATACGAAGCAGACGACTTCTAAACTTGGCCGCACTGCCAGGGTTCCTTTACGATTATTTAGTCGTAAAAATCAAAGTTATAGCCTATTTACAGCCGTAACTGTTTGTTAATATTTGTTTTACGAGTCCACGATGGCTTATTATTTAATCGTTAATCATTTAACGTATAAAAGCCATATAACTTGCCCACAGCTGTTTTTATTGGATTCTCACACTTCATTCACACGTTTTATGTGTTTTCACGAACATTTAACGTTGTTGCTGCTTTATATTTACAAACTGAAATGCTAAAATGTTTTGTTTATAATAAAATTAAAACTTTAAGGTGGATTTTTAATATAAACAACGGCACGATGGGGGCAGAGAAATGCGAAGTTGTCGCCGCTTATTTCTCGAAGGAATCTCGCTGGAACAAAGACATTAAACAAGAGCGTCTGCATTGAAGACAATATTCAACACGCTGTTCGTCGTGCTATAAATCTGTTGAATTTCAACCGTTTGATAAGGTATACATACGAACGGTGTCAAGGGAATTTGGACTCTACTCTCTTGTTTGAAGTCAAGATATCCTTGGTGAATACACACGACGGGTATAATACTTAAATGTCGCTGAATTGACTGTGCCCGCGCATTTGATCGCATCGGGACGTCGCGTCGTGGTTTCTTTAAGGGCGCTGTGTTGATTTATTCTGCGGGGTGCGATGTGGCGTATAACTATACTTCTTTGTCCACCTTCCTCCTACTTGATCCTTTGTTTAACAAAAGCATATTTAACTTTAAATTAAACGCTTTGTTATAAGGGTTATGAAGTAACGGACAAGATGTCACGGAGGCGCGCTTTTCTTCAGCTTTCAACCTGTGTTGTAAATTAATAAGCAGTTTCTTTGTTCTAGTCCAATTGACCATTAACATGGTATAATATTCGGACTTATTTATGACTAACCAATTCCTTTTTAGGGGGTAGGACAATCTACTTATGTGGTGCTAGGTAAATGAAACTATTTTTATCGCGTTTATTTTTAATTTTAATTCCTGTCGTTTAGAACCCCTTTCAGCGTTCATGGTTACGAGACAGACTGACGCGTTGGACGTCTGAACGTTATTGTAAGCCCGAGCTACCGCTAGTTTTTAAATTATTAATTTTGTGTCCGTTCTAGACTTGTGTGGTGGTTCAAAGCCTGGTCTGCCCTACGTAAAACTAGAATTTCCTGACACCATATCGAGGAACGATCAACGCGCCAGCGAAATATACCATCCCTTTAACTCTTCGGTGCCTTGTAGCCCGCCAGATACATCCTCTCGCCGTCGATATATCTGCGGCCGCGTGTCGCTGGAACATTCTGGAATAGGAAGTGCCCGCCAATGTGCCGTGTAAAGTGTCGTGGTCGTTTATTTGAGTCGGTCGAGTGTCGCGTTTGACCCGTTTCAGTGCGGATAGACCGCGGGCTATTTTTAGTTCGACACGATTTAGTTCAGCGCTTAGTTTTTAATGAATAAAGTCGTATTCGTTTTAAGCGGTTCTCTATGACATCTAAATGTGGTGATTGGTCTAATAATGTATTATTAACTTGTGCCCCTTTTGTAATCAAAATTGTGATTTACGTCTTGTTTTAGATAGTACAATTTGCAGTCAAAGCGTAGTCTTCAATAGCGCTAGTACTATACTTATTAGCTTAATAATTATTGTCCGATATACCTGTATCTATTATAATTTAGGAGCATAAGTTCAAAGACGAGCCGAATTTCGATACACCGTTACCGAGAGGAAACGTTTCCCTATTTCTTAAATCAAGGTCCAGAAAAACCAAAGTATTACGGGTCGAAAATAAATCGTCCCGTATCCCAGTCACGTTCCGTAGTCGTGACAGTGTCGTACATCACGTTGAGATAAAAGCCCTCGCTCTGCCCACTCACGATCCGAAGCAGAAAAAAAAGAACTCTTTAGCACTTACCGGCGATACCAGTGATTGAATGATACGAAGTCGTGTCGTGTGCGGGGAGCCTTAAGTTGCTGTCCATTAGGCTACCTTTATTGCTTCATCCACATAATGTCCCCGATTGAGCACTATTTTGGTCTTAATTCAACATAGATTTTACTCGAGCTGTTTTCAGGACTTTCAGGTGTCTCGTTCCGTACTAGATTCTCCGATAGGACTGGATTTAGCCGCATAATATTCCATAAAATCGTAAATTTTCCATCAATCATGCTGTCGAACATCTCAAAAGCATATAAATACAGTTATTTCTATTAAAACACTATCCCGACATCTATTATTTCTAGCGTGAGTGCATTATTGGAAAAGAATATCGGGAAAATGTATTATTTAGTTTTGATACCTTAATAACGCCAAAGTAAAATAATTCTTACACAAATATGCGTATCCATAGAGGCGAGTGGAAAAACAAAAATAAACTAGTAATAATTTATTCGAGTGTGATTTATGTGCATTTAAGTCGGCGTGAGGAGGGGGGGGGGGGGGGATGCTATCTCGGGACATGGCCGCCGTAAAAAGGGCAGGGCTGTCAGCTACTAAGGATTTCTGATCACCATAGAGTTCATCACACTTGATGAACTTTATAGTGAACTTTCACAAGATTAATACGCCTATTTTTTATTGGATAAGACGGTACACTTAGGTGGTTCATTTTATGTTATTAGGACCAGCCCTGGACCTCTGCAACATTCTTCTACTTTACAAGGGTGCGCTCCGCGTACCTCACTTAACGGTCGAGATATAAATATTCAGTTACTTCTATCAGGTCCATCTTCTGCAAGGCTGGAGATGTCCATTCTTGTAATAGCAGAAGTTTCCTTGTGAGTAACGATATGAACGTTTATATGTATATATATATATATACATACACAGGGAATCGCCGCAAAAAGAAATGTTATAATATACGGCCGCGGTTCGTATCACGATCATTTCCACACTTATTTTTTTTACTTTTTTCGGTCTTCCAGATACTTAAGTTAATAATGTGACGAAGGTCTGCGTTTATCAAACAATTAAAAAAATTAACTTTCGAGTCTATGGTCCTAACAAACTTAACCACGGCATTTTCGCAAACAATCTATATAACGAAACCCTTTTCCTGTAACAATGCATTTTATATTTACGTTATCCATTTTCGTTTTGAGTATTACATAAAATCTACATTGTTTTTATTAAATTTGAGAAAAATTGTTTTAATACGACCATCTTTGTTATATTTCTTTGAGACTTTCATTTCATATGTAAGTTGTTTGTTTATTCTAATGTAAATTTGTCCTATTTTAGTATGGAGTTTTCCATCAGTTGGCAACCCTAACACTGAGTTACCGCTCACCGGTTGAGATATCGCGCGGACGATTCTCAAAGTCGTACCTACCTACCTACGTTGGAATGCAGCCATCATGACTTCTCTTGCGTTATATACGTATTTTTTTCTCAATCTAAACGCTTGTCCCCTATTATAAAATACGCCATTAGTTTAGGTAAGGTAAGATTAGTTATCGAACTCCACCGGCGTGTTGCCAGTTCGATTTCTTTTTTTTGTGTAATTTTTGACTATTATCTCTATACTGTCCAAAATATCGAGTTTATTGAGGTCACCTTGTGCTTCTAAACCCTTGTTAATAAATTAGATTAAGTCGAAGAATATCTAGCTAAAATAAATGTTGGTTATCGTCCAAAATGTATGTATTTATAAGCATAAGCGATAAGAAATTATACTCGAATCGATTCAGCCCCTGGACTTTGATTTAACATATCTTTGTAGAGTGCATTAAATGAAGCTTTGATCGCTTTAATGTACCCGCAGATGCAAAACCTAATCCGTTTGATACTAATGCGTTCAATAATTATACAGTAAAATTTACAACATTTATGTTTATTTGTATTTTCATCAAACTTTTGAAGATAAAAGCGAAATGTTGATTGTGCAGATTGTGAACAGTAGGATTTTTTCCGAGATCAAAAACGATGTTTATAGTTTACTTTTACGATGTGTATGGAAAAAATTGAACTTAAACCATTTCAAATTTTTCCGATTTTTGTGTTTAACATTCTAATATATTATATGCAATTATTGTATTTACGGTCTAAATGATAATAATACGGACACAATGATAATAATATAAATATAACAAGCCTGCAGTTAAACCGGTGGTAGTTTTTCAGCGTTCAACAAGAGCTTAAATAAGCATAGGCTTATAGATTGAATAAAAAAAAATGATTTTGAGACAAACCCATGTGTGTTATTTATTTAACTGATGAATTAACCGTGGTAAGGCCACGAAACAGTGTTCTCTGTTGCTTCGAAGGGGAAGGTATGGACCTTCCGGGATGGCCCGGTTAGTACCACGACCTCACAGAAGACCGGCGTGAAGTGGAAGGGCTACAATTCTGCGATTTGTCTGGTGAGTCCTCACTCACCAGACGAAACTCAGAAGTAGTCGGGGCCTCTATTAAATGGTGGCAACGCATCTGAAACGCCACAGGTGTTACAGTTGTCAACGGGCGGCGGTTATCAGTTAACATCAGGTGAACCGTCGTTCTCCACCTTTTCACATAAAAAGAGGAAAGAAAACGAACGATCTTGTTCAATTAAAAATATACAAAATGAAGACCGCCACCCGCTCTTTGACTTGCCTTCTTATAGTGTAAAGAGCGGGTACCTATGTTCTAAGAGGGCTAAATTTCGAAGGCCGTAATTTGATATATTTCAATTCAAATTAAGTGAATACTTTAGTCTAAAGCTAAGTTATTTATGTTGGTACCCGGTATTGTGAATTTATAAGAATTTACATAAAGTATAATGCCATCATATAGAAGCAGTGTGAATTAAAAATATTATTAAATCTTATGTTATCTTTATGTTTCAGCCTTTGAGCGTTGTGGGATAGCTGAAACCCTATACTTTGCGTTTGGCACCACACCTACGGCATCTGAACAGCAGGTGATTCTATTTGTGACTAAAAAAAAGCAGTACTTTGACTTACCATCACCGGAGCAAGAACGCGTCGCATTAATAACACTTATCGTAACTTCAACTGCACTTTACACCGCCAAGTAATTCATTTTTAACTCGACTTACAAGTGTACTCTGGAACGATTTTTTCCCGACTAAATTCTCCTCAACAGTCCAAGACCCGACAATGGCCTCGAGCGTGTGTTTAACTTTGAAACAAAGAATGGAAAAAAAACAACAACACCGAAAACAAAAAGTCTAAGGCTTTTGTGTGCCGCCGCGTTCGCAGAAGATGCTATACGCGCTAAAAAACTCGAAAAAAGAGTAAAGTTTTTTTGTTACAGCATTAAATAACCCTTACATCATACGGCGAACGGCACTTATTGTCGCTCGCTAGATGGGTTAGCTTGCGCAATAAAGCGCAGCTTCGCTCGGACAAAACGTCCTTTTTTCGAAAGGTTCCGGCGTGCACCTTTCTGCAGCGTCTCGCTAATAAAATCAAGGAATCCCGCAATGTTTGCCCTTGTCCGGACGATTTTATTGCGCTGTAAACCACTAAAAAGTACCTCGAGGTCTTGTTACGTCGGAGAAAGGTGTTCCGGCCCATTACGCACTTTGCAAACAATGATTTAGAAAATTATCACACCTCAGGTCGCCTCAAGAAAGTCTTTCTCCCATTGTTCGCGATTCGAACAAATATTAATGATTAGTTTTAATGTTTTGTCATTCGCATTTCTGCAGGTGAGTTATTGACCGTGAATAATTTCTTCAATCTTTGCATAGAATTGGATTGCGTAAGATTTTTAGCTCAGTATGTTTTGGATACTGAGCGCAGTTTGGTGTTTTTAACTATAATATAATAATGTTATGGTTACTACAATTTCTTATCAATTTGAAAATAAAAGGAGTTTTTAGGCCAGATTTTATAACCATGTGAGTACATTTTTCGTCACCTTTATTATATTTAAAAAGCTTAAATTTAAATTAAAGAAAAAGATAACTGTTAGTGCAATCGTTTTGAATTGTTCTGTTTATTTTTATTACAGTTCCAATCTTTTATATTTAACGAAATTAGCGAATTACAATATCGACAAAGAAATAATTCCTCAAATAAATATTTAACTAAAAGTTGGACTATGGATAACATCCGAGGTTTTTTTACTAGTAGCAACCTTATACGCACTTACGCCCGGTTTCTGAAACACTGATCATCGTTGAAAATAACGTTCATTAACTAATCAGCGGTCAAATGGCTTTTCAAATGTCATTTGAGTTGCCAAAAGGATGGTTTAACTCTCTGAATTGATTAGAATGATCTTCTTAATGGTCGGAATCGGGCACTAGTCTACGGATTGTACTGCAATCAAAGTCAGCGATGAATACCCAGAGTTTTGAGGGTTTGAGAAATACGTGCATTAAAAC